TCCCTTGGACTATGATTTAGAGCCACAGGAGCAGTAGTTGTGTGGATGAAAGATTTCCTACTACTTTACAGAGGACAAAAAGATGTACCCTGTATCCTCATATATAAGCCTCGAAATTTTAGTGAAAACATCAACCTACAAAACATTGGTCTATTTCTTTAAGTGCGATCCATAGCTTTTCCTGGTCTATAAATTCAAGGACTTTGCTGTTATCCATAAAGCACAGACTGATTTCCAACTGAAAATTTTCAGCATGCTCCATTATCCAAGTTATGTTCGGAATATGATAATAGTTCCTCTTTCTTTCTTGAACTCAGCTTGGACATTTGGCATTTTTCACTTCATATATAGGAAACATCTCTATTGTAGAATTTAGAGCATGACTTTGCTTGCATGGAACATTAATGCAATGGTCCTAAGGTAACTCAATCCTTGGTGACCCTATTCTTGGAACAGGATTATATATTCAGGTTCTCCAACCTGTGAGCCATTGTTCTCTATATTCTCCATGTGTGCTAGAGTAATTGCATTCACCACCGCATCAATCATTGTTCCTAAATGTATATAAATGGGTGGGCCCAATACTCTGATAGAGCTAGTGTGGTGTAGTGATTTGAATTTTATCTACCCGTATATTCCAGCATATAAGACGACTGGACGTATAAGACGACCCCCAACTTTTCCAGTTTTTTCTTTTTCTTTTCTTTTTTTACCATGCTTTTGACTTTTTCAATACAAATACAGAAGATCTTCAAAGAATAGATGGAAGTCCAACTTATTTTTTCTCTTATTTTTATTTTATTTTTATTTTCATTTTTTTCCATATTTTTTTTATTATTATTCATTTTCTCTCTTTTTCTCTATCTCCCCACCCATTCCCTCACACCACCCTATCTTTATTATTATTTCCTACTTTTCTATCTCCTTCCCAATTATTCCCCCACTTTCCATGTATTTACACTATAACGCAATAAAAATGATTTATAATTTTTTTAAAAAAAATATAGAGTTTGGGATATATTTGCCGTATAAGACTACCCCTCTTCCAACGCACACCAAATAAAAATTTAAAAAGCATCAGATTTGATTTCAATATGGTATTTTTCCTATTACTGTGCCTCCTCCTCTGCCTCAGATCTCGCATATGCGCACCGCTTCACTGCAGTCTTCAGGAGCGAGATCTGAGAGGCAGAGGAGGAGGTTTGGTAATAGGATACAAGGGCGGGCCAGACAGGTAAAAGAGTTGTATTTTGCTGGGCCCAGAGCCACTCTATCTCTTTTTTCCATACCCCAGGTGCCCCTGCAGCTTGTGGCCATTGCCATTTTTGAGCTCCCCCCACCATACGCGGCAACCACAGATTCTCCAATCTGATTGGAAGTTTCAGCACCCGTTCTATAAGATGACTTCCGCGTATAAGACTACTCTCGTGTATAAGACTACTCCTGTGTATAAGACTATTCCTGTGTATAAGACGACTCCCGCGTACAAGACGACCCCGCGTATAAGACGACCCCCGACTTTTGAGAGAATTTTCTTGGGTTAAAAAGTAGTCTTATACACCAGAATATACGGTAAATCTAACACAGAGAACCCATAACTTTATTTAACTTTAACTTTATAACTTTATTTATTTATTTGTTTTTTAAAAAGTAATACAACTTCACTGGAGTGTGAATTCTGTCAAACTCCAGACATTGGTGATACATCTTTCATCATTCATTACTAACTGTGTGGGCTATATCTGCTGAGAGCTGCAGTTCAATAGCAACTGGAGGGTTGCAGAATTTGCAGCCTTATTTTACTTAAATTCTCAGTTTTGCCGTATTACAGAAATAAGCAAAATCATTTGTGGAGAAGGGCCATATGATATTTGTTCTTTGTTGGGTGCTGAAGATTATTTTAGCTTATTACAGTTCAATTATTTGACTGACTTCTGGATGTGGAACATCGTCAAAATTCATGGCAGCAAGACACATGCAATAGCCAGACATGGTAAGAAAACATAATAAAAGAGTGGAGTGGGGGCTGTGTGTATACTTTTGGCCAGAGTTCCATCAAAGCACCAGACTATAGGAGAATATGCCACTAGGCAGTCACAATCAGGTTTCTGGATTTATTCCTGGATCTTTATCCATGCAACATCCATAGAGAATTCAGGAGGCAGCTGCTGCAATCCTTCTTCTTGAACTGTTCTGTTCCTAGCTGATAGCAAAGAGGTGGAACAGAAAAAATGGAGGAAACTCGTCATTTCTCCATGCCCCCCTTTTCCTTGCTCCATCAACTCCCCCTGTCTGTGCCTGAAAATTTATGTCTTTTGTAGAATTTTGTTTTCTCCAGAAGATTCACTCCTTTTAAAAATAGCGTATGTTCTTCAGTGATAAATAAATATGAGTGAGGATTGCTTTAGTTTGACTTCCAATACATGATGCAAAGTAGGTTGTGACATGTTGCTTGTCACAAAGTGTACCTTGTGTTTTAAGTAGTTGGAATGTCTGTTTGGGATGTGTCATTACTTTACTCGACAAATTCCAGCAGGTGAAGGAGATGTCTCAAGTGGTTGCCTATTCTCCGTGGCATCTTCAGTCACCTGCTGGACTAGTGTGAAATTAAGGAGGCTGCACTAAATGTTTAAACTCTCAGGGAAATGTACCTCTGATATATTAACCCTTTTCTATCTTTTCCTCTTTAATATGTTTCCTAAAATGGATGAAACAACTTGTTGATTATCAAGAGAAATTTAAAGTGTGTGTGTGTGTGTGTGTGTGCATGCATGTGCATACATGTACCGATACATCACGCATTGACTTATGCTGTCTCAATATTTGTGTTCATAAATTCTTAAACAGAATGTTCTTTAAAAACTAAATGTTAGAATGTGTAAGAATTTCTAACATAAGAGCTTCAAGCATGTTGGTTATTCAGCAGCATAATGTTGTCTGTTGTGTAGTTTATTGATTGAGTGATTGAATTTAATTTTTCGGAGTATTTATATCCTCCTTAAAAAACAGTTTTGATGAGCTTACTGGAAAAGAAAGGTTTTAAGCTGTCACTGATAGGAAAACCAAGAGGAAGTTATCCTAGCACTCCAAAGCAACTAGAGAAGACCTTATCCTTTTCCCCACCAACCATACCTGTGAAGGGAGTGCAATAAAGAGTAGTACTCACCCGCAGATCTTAAATCTTGGACAGACTTATATGAGAAGATATCATCTTTCACATAGCCTGGATCTGACTCAAATAAGACATTATAGGTCAAAGCCATTGTTTTAATAACGAAATTGCATGTTCCCTATAACTAGCCCAGATAGTAATCTGGCTGCAGTTCTTTGGACTACGTGAAATATCCAAACACTTTTCAAAGCAGTGGTTCTCAACCTGTGGGTCCCCAGGTGTTTTGGCCTACAATTCCCTGAAATCCCAGCCAGTTCACTGTTTAAGGCCAAAACATCTGGGGACCTACAGGTTGAGAACCACTCCTTCAAAGACATGTCCATGTAGAAAGCATTATAGTAATCCAGCTGGGATGTAACAAAGGCATATATCACCAAGAGTCAGGCATCTCATGGAACAGGCACACTTTAATTGTACAGATCATGCCCTGATCGCTGTGGAAACCTCAAAAGAAAGAATAAAAAGTAAAGGACAGGAGAAGAAACAAAATAATGGACTAAATAGATTAATAGATGATAAGCGGAACTACTTTTATATTAAGATATAATTAATGTGGGTCATTTTAGTGTGAAGCTAGAATTTCACCCTGAGTTATTTTGAATGTTAGTAGAAGCCATAGAAATGTGTGTCTTCTTTAGAATATGAACGCCGATAAGAGGGAGCTTATTTCAGAAGTACATTGCCGCCCTTATAAATCTTATTCTTTTCAAGTCACTCTATTTTCTCCATGTGATCAGTATTATGATTCTTTTTTTCTACTTCTCCAAAGCAGTAGGGCATTTGCTTTAACACCATAGTGGATTGACAGTGGAGAACCTATTAAAAACATGAAAAGCTATAGAGAATGATGAACGTAAAATGTTGTTATACAATAATACGTTTTCTATTTCTGGGCTTTTAATTTGGCCAGGTACATTAAAGAATAAAATCTGGTATAAATACTAAACAATAAGTAAATTATGTGTCATAGAGCAATTGCTTCCCTCAATACACATAAATTTGTATTTGTGGTAAGAAAGGCAAATTAGTCATTTTCCAGACTGTACAGGGTATTGTTCCTTTGAGTTTCATGTTGACTGGATATTGGAGCATTTGTTTTCTCGTCTTGAAAGAATCACCATTCATTTTTTGGTTAATGCCAAGGAACAATCTACAGCTATGTGAGAAACAGTCAAAGGGTGCATCTACATATAAAATTAATGCACTTTGACACCATTTTAACTGCTGTGGCTCTGTGTTATGTAGTCCTGGAAATTGTAGCTTTACAAATTATTTAGCCCTTTCTGCCAGAAAGTGTTGGTGTCTCACCAAGCTACAAAACCCAGGATTATATAGAATTGAGTCATAGCAGTTAAAGTGGTATAAGACTGCATCACCCACAAGAATGGCTTTTTATATGGGTACCAAAACTTCATTTTATTTTCACAAAATGTCCACTTTAATAATTTTATATGGCTGAACTTCAGGCTGCTTTTTTGTTATAAAATCAGGACCAGTCATTAACTGCAATTGTAATTAAGGCCATTTAAAACTATTAATTGGTTTTTCATAAACTTTTGGAGATCAAATCATGGAATGTTAAATTCTGTTTTGCAAGTTGAAACTTAAGGCTGATTTACTTGTGTGTGAAATGCAAGGATATAAATAGATTTTAAAATACCTGCCCATTTAAATTACACATTCAGTCAATAAAATGATACAACTTTGGTCTGTCAGACTCAATTTTCAGGTGAATAGATGCAGCTGCTCCATCAGTAAATGAGTTTCTATCTTTGCTCTTATGATCATAAACTTTATCATAATGCTATGCTATTGTGTTTTATTCCAGAGCTTTCAGCTATTGAACCTATTGTCTTCCTTCGACCTTTTTTGGAAGTTATCCGTTCAGAAGATACTACAGGCCCTATCACTGGATTGGCTCTAACATCAGTAAATAAATTCCTTTCATACGCACTAATAGGTATGGATCTAGGACTATTGTTTCCACTTCTTATGTCAGTTAAAACTAGGCTTGCTAAAACTGTTGCCTTGATGAGAAAAAATATATCTGCATTCCTTAGACAATTACAGTCAGTCTGAGAAGAACCCATGCTGGGAATATTTTAGAAATCTTTGTTAGTGTCAGAAATGTTTTCCAGCAGAAGGCTGCCAGATATGATTGGAATCATTTAGAAAGGCTGTGACATCCTATCACAAGTGTACCTGAATTTGTCTGTATTGTTAGAAGAATACAGTGAATCCTTTCCAACTGGAAACTGTAGGAAGAGGAAAACATCCAGAAGGCAGTGTTATTCTGGAGTGTGATCTGATTTTGCAGAAATGTATCCTGTTTTGTACAGATACTAACCATGAGGGCACAGCTGAGGGAATGGAGAACATGGCAGATGCTGTCACACATGCCCGGTTTGTTGGCACAGATCCTGCAAGTGATGAGGTTGTCTTGATGAAGATCTTACAGGTGTGTAATAACTTAGGTCTCGTGTTCTACGTACTCTTTTCAATAGATACTGGGTTGTGGAAGTGGATTGCTGCGACTTGGCTACACCTTTATTTTTAAGCATATAGTCCATTTTCGTGCTCTAAAAGCTTATTCTATTATCTAGTAAGAATTATTGATCATCTGTAGCAAGAGTTGGGTTTTCTTGATACATGACTCTGGATTCTAGATTCATATTACATGGCAATGTATTTTTATTTTTTTTTGCTTACTTAAGCAATCCCATTTGTAAGTGCTGTCATAAAAGAGGGGCATTTTCCTATTATTCTTGCAATTGTCAAGTATTTCTTTATTGTTATGTGTTATTATATCTAACTATCAAAGATATTGGAATGGCAACATGATGTTTTGTTCTTATTTCAGGTCTTGAGGACTCTACTCCTTACTCCAGTTGGTGCTCATCTCACCAATGAATCAGTGTGTGAAATCATGCAGTCTTGCTTTCGTATATGCTTTGAAATGAGACTTAGTGGTAAGTTTTCAGGAGAAGGAAGCATAGCCTACCTAAATGTTCACAAAGGGGTAACTGTTTCCAGAAAAATAACAGTCTACAAGAATGGTGTTTAGGGAAACACAGACAAATATAATATAACTACATTTGTTCAGTAAAATTGCTACAGCTGAAGAAAAATTGTTTTTTTAAACTCTACTTTTTGCTCATTCATTCTTTTCTCTTTTTCACCCCCATTCAGCTCTGTAGCGCCACTTAGTGTACCTTTGTATATTTTACTGCACAGCTGCGGCTGGAACTGGTTTTAATAAATTTTCAGTAATCCTTTGTAAACAATACTTGGAGGGGAGTCTACACAGAGAAGCCTCTAGATAATATCACACCAAGTAATGACACCTGTGTTATTTGTTTTTGTCTTCAGAGTTATTGAGAAAATCTGCAGAGCACACTCTGGTCGACATGGTACAGCTGCTCTTCACAAGGTAAACCTTCTTATGTTTGTCTCAACACTGCTCAGATGGCCCTTCAAGGGCAGGAAGATCCCACACTTCAACTGCGTACGTGTGTGTGTCTCTCTCTGTGCATGTGTGTAGGCACCTTAGAAAGTCATCCAGACTGAGCATTATCAGGACTTTTCAGAGCTCAACAAAGCTTAAAATGGATATCCTTTATGGCCAGGTTGTAGTATTTTTGTATATATATATATCACCCACTAGTCGAGAGCAAGCCAGAACACAACACTACATTAAATTAAACTACACCATGTGAAATAACATGGAATTCAATTCAGATTAACTAAAAATAGAAGCTTTAGTCATTTGCCATCAAAGAGTGCCATAATCAAGAAAATGGGAAAGCTTGAATGCAAGCAATTTGTAGAAGATGTTAGTGTTCCCATCCTCCATGCCTTGTGAGTGACCCTTGATGTTTTGACCAGGCTTAAGTTCAAAAGCTCTTAAGTCAAGATGTGCTGGGAAGAGTTGAAGCATTTAGACTCGACACCTCACCATCTTACTAATAGTATAAAGAAGTGTAGGGGAAGCTTCTAGTAGACCAATCACTGTCTGCGAATCTCTGTCTTCCTTGTGTTTATTTGGCATAGTTGTTTCGATTGGTTCTTTGGACACCAGTTTCTAATTGATTTTGGTTATGGATTCTTCTAATGTGATACTGAGGATCAGATGTTTCTGACTGCTAGCTCTCTCTAAATATGACTTGTACACATTTCTTGGAATCCTTGTCCTGTAATAACCACCAAAATTGAATTCCTAGCACATAAATAAGATTTAAAAAATACTGCTATTAAGATTAGTAAATGTAAATGAAGAAGATGATAATATGAATGTTTTGTTCTTAATTTAGCTAGTCACATTAAAGAATTGGAGCTCATTTCACAGCATTGAAATAGTGGTTCTAAGCTAAGAAACTCTTTTTTCCATATTGTGTGCATTGGTGAACCATCACTGGCATTCATCAGTTCTATCAGTTCATGAATATTACAGATTCTCATAGAGCAAAGTATGAGAATTTTTACAGTCTTACTTTGGTATTAGAAGAGAGAGCTGTTAGTTTAGCTTGAAATTAAATTTCACATAGGCATTGTTATCCGTTTATAAGTTTGGAAAATCTAAGATCATAAGAATCAAAAGTGTTACACTTACCTTATAGAAAATTCTATATGAGTGCCATTATTCCCATCTTAGGGGAACAGTAGTTAAAGAGCACACACGTATTCACTATTATGGGTATTAACATGCATTCCTTACATAGTGTTGCAAAGTCATCAAATTATAGGAATTACTCAGCCATTGAAACTGTTTGCAAATCAGCAGTTTGGGAAAGTAATAATACCTTTTGTGAGACACAGTCTTGTCAATATATTTTCATTTGCCAAAGTTGCGTTTGGCATTTGAACCTTCTAGGAGGTAACCACAGTGTAGATAGGGATGCACTATCTTTCTATATCCACAGGGAACAATTACCAAATGATCATTCGTAATAGTTTGGAGGCAGCATCCCATCTCGAAAATCACATACAGAGGAGACAGCTTCAGAATTGAAATTCTGTTATAACGGATGCCTAATAAGAGAATTTTCCCTTATTCTTTGTCTGAAATAATTTTCTTTATGTTATTCCAGATTACCTCAGTTTAAAGAGGAACCTAAAAGCTATGTGGGGACTAACATAAAAAAGGTAAGACCTAGGCTCATTATTGTTCTCTCTGTTGACTCCTTTGGCTTTAAAATAGTGTTCACACGATTCATGGGAAAAAATGAATATTTTTGATCAACACTGATGAACGTGTCAGTGGCACAGAGTTGAATCTTATGCTGGTTTATCCAAGGAATTGATTTGGGCACTGTATCTTAATACTTGAACGAACCGAACAGGCATCTGTTTTATTTAGCTCAGAAACTGTAGGGTAATAACTCCTGCCCATGGGAGCTATTGCCTGCTTCCAAACATCATGTTCCTTTGTGATCTTTGTATAGTTCTATCAGTTTGATCTGAACCTGTATAGAAGCATCTTCAGAAATCTTGTTTTATATGAGACTCACTTGTTCTTCTCAGCATGAGAAGCTGCTTGTTTCGTAAGGGTGGGATCTCCAGTACAATGCATGCTGGCACAAATGTATTTGCAAAGATCTCCTCCAGTCTCTGTGAAGCCTTTCTGCCCCTGCTACCACAGAATTTCGTCAACTCCCATTGGCAAGAGGGCTCAATCTTTTATAGTACACAGAGGTGAAAGAAACAAGGCCACTTGAGCTCAGTAGCTTCTAAAAATATGCCAGTAATATGTTGGTAATATCTACTTCATCCCTGAAATCTCAGAGAAGAATCAAAGACACAGTGATTCCATCCTGTCTTACAGAGTGAAATGGTTCAGCTGGCTCTGGGCATTATGGGCATAAAAATATATCTGAGGTTATGAAAAGTGTGAAAGGAAAGAGAAGTTGGGAAGCGCACTGTTTTGATCCTTCTGGCATCATAACTGCTGCAGTGGAGAGTAGAATGATCAGATGTAGAATCTCTGTAGTAGCCATAGAGAGGTTTTGAATTCTGAGGAGTATAGACACATTAATCCCCTCCTGGCCCAAACACACAAATAGTATCTACAGTTTTGCCCTTTTATTAAAGTATCAAGAGCAGCTTTTGGACTTTTTACACATAAGTTGCAATGTGAAATGTCTGTTATTTAGCAAGTGAAGTTCTGGGATTAATTCCTAGTCAACAGGGTGCTATTTGCATGTGTTTTCCTCTTTTTGCAATTGTTTTTGATCTTCTTCCACACATTTGAGAATATGCCAATTACATTCTTAGTTTTCTTTTATTGACCATGTCAATAAAAGAAAACCATGTCTAAAACCATGGTCTTTACACCTCCTTTTTTTCTTCTGGTCTTTCTTGAGACAGATCTTGTATCTCAGGGCAGAGGCAAAGTCCTGCACCCTGAGCTTTACCCCCTGCACCTCTCTCTTAGGAGGGGTTTCTCCAAACATTATTCTTTGGATTAGAACCAGTTTTAACATTCATTAGGATATCTTGCAAATATGAATATGTTCCTTTCACTTGTGGCCTTGGAATACTTTGTTCTGACATTCCCCTTGCATTCCTTTAACTAGAGTTTCTTCTGAATTTATATTTAGTCTTGGAACTTCTTTTGCTCAAACTAAACATGACAGCAATTTCAGCTTGTATTTCAAGATTTTTCTCTCAGAATGCTTTATTAAACCTTTTCTTAAAGGTTTATTGAACTTATCCATTGAACATCTGTTCCATCACCTTCAGGAAGGCCCTTGTTACCTTCTTGTCTATTATGCCCCTTGCATTAATGTGCAGGTTCTTTGACATTACAGGCATGTGTTACCACTCTGTGAAAATCAGTCTCCTGTTTTTATTGCCTTTGCTCACTAAACTGGGGAACTGTATCATGATCCTCCTTGTCACTAAGTCCATGATGCCAACGAAATTCTGTGCTTCAGCTTTATATTGTTATTCAAAATCATCTCTTTTCATTTTCAACAGGAAGTAGTCTTTTCTGTTATTTATCTCCAGATGTCAACAGAAAGCTAGCTTTTCCCATCCTGGATGTTCACTGTGTTCTAGCTTTCAATTTGCACTGTACCTTTTGTGCAAATTGAAAGATATTGCTCATTTTGAACATCCCTCCTACTGCAAGGGAGGCTGTCTATGCATTATCTCTCTCAGTAGATTAATACAGCTGCTCTAGAACTCTCAGTCAAGAGCAGACCTGCACAACTTGGCAGTAGGTAGAGGCCAAAATTAAGATAGGCCAAACTTCTTAATGTAATTTGGCATGACTTTAACTGCCATGGCTCAATACTATGGAACCCTGGAAGTTGTAGTTTGCCAAGATTGTAAAAACGTATTTTGGGTATACTGTAGGTAATGATTTTACAATTCCTCACAACTCCAGGTTTTCTGATGGGCTTTGGTAGACGATAAACCATGCATGCACATAGAATAGCACCCAGGAGCTGGGGCTTGTGATGACTTACGTTGGCAGTGCCTTATGCTTTTGAACCTCTTCTGAAGGGATCCTTGGAGGCCTGGGGCTTGAGAGGGATGTCTATGGTGGATGCATACAAGATCGCTTGTGGGAGGCAGAGGGCAATGCTGAGCAACTGAAAGGGTTGGCAAGGGCAATGGTGGCAGAGAAACCAGTGAGTGTGCCAACTTCTTCAGGCTACCTGAAATCCTTTGGCAGGTCATGAGTAGCCCGCAGGCCACATGTTTTGCAGGCCTGGTCTAGTGCAACCTTGAGAGCTTGTCCTGCCTTGTCCTCTGAAAGAACTGTGCACAGCCACAGTGTGGTTGACTCCCTACATCTTTATAACACATTATGCTATTGAGTGTACTCAAGGGGTACTGCCAGGTGCTGTGCACAAAGTTCGTACATCCAGCATGTTTGCTCACTAGTACCCCATGAATCCACTTGCATGAAGAAAAACAAAATTATAAGTGGTGCACCTGAAGCATAATACCACTAATGGTAGCTTCAGGGGTAGCTGTTTTCAAGGATAATGGGAGGTATCTTTGATAATAGGATAATGGTTCTTAACCCAGGCTTCCCAAGTTCCATAAAGTGGATAAAAAAAGTTTTTTTTCTTTGATTTCCTCCCGTTACTTTTAATTTTCCCATTAAATGTTAAGGTTAAAAACATTTTTCATGTGTTTAGTATACAAATGTTCCAGACTACATTTCATGCAATTTCCAATGCAATAAAATGAACATTATATAAAATTGTGTATGTATTTATGGAGAAGGATTTTTCTTGAGATGGAATTCATACTTTTTCAGGTTTTCAATGTCTGCGTTCCCTACCCCTCCCTCCCAATTTAAAAATCACTGATCTAGAAGGGGAAAGTTTGAAATGTTCACCCTATCCATGATGATATTGTGGATTCAGGTTTCCTACTCAGCAAGTTCAGGATCTGGGATTTGGGATTTGGGATTTAGAACACGAGGAAGAATATTGCAGTAGTTTTCAATTGCAAAAAGCGATTCTTGCACATATGTGTTGTGTTTAAGAAATAGGTGTATCACAAAACCCATAGACACACAAGGCTGAATCATTTTCTGTATGAGAAAAAATATATGAAAGCCTCTCAAAGATCAAGTGATGGCAGCTTTCATCTGATAAAGCTTCTAGTTCTTCTCTCCCTGCTTGCCTTTGCATTCTATGCTTTCACTTCATTCTGTGCATTGTTACATTGATTCTCTGTTGGACTTAGTTTTCTTTTTCTTTTTCTTTTTTCAAACCATACATGTGACTGTCTTTCACAGATGTCTCCATATCTCCTCAGCAGCCTGGATCTGTGTAATGGGGAACAGTCCAAAGCCCTGAACCAGTTAGAGAGAGTACTGCTCTTTAAGAAATTGAAGGTCTCTCTTTTCCTCCTTCCCTTCTGCAAGCGTATGGGGATGCTAGCGATGTCTTGTGCAACAAAAGCTTTGTTCATCTTTCTTGTGCAGCATGGCTTTGGGAAGAATGCATGTAGTAGAGTGGGCATCCGTTTGGAATACTGTTAGAGAGAAGGCTTTACTAGATGAGGAAGTAAATGGCATAAATAAATGTAGAGTTTCACTTGTAGGCTGGAATTTCAGGTATCCATATACAGCATGGTTGACATCTACTATATATACACAAATGTATAAGGTGACATCATGTCATCAGGTTTTGGGGCCAACATGATGGATTTGGATATGACTCCACACAGAGGGGAAAACAGCATTGCTTTTTCAGAGGAGGAGGGGCAACTGCCATTGTCTACTGCTACCATTCTTTGCCTAGGCATTCAAAAAGGCCAGAAGAAGCACATGGTGGAGGGAGGAGGAGAGGATGGGTGCTTCTTTTAGGTTTCCAAGGGAAGGCTAAATTTCTTGTCTTTTGCCAGTTTACTTAAAGAAGAGGATGGTTCCGTTTTAAGATATGAGGACAGTGCTAACATTGACTTGTGGATATGTTAAGCGGATTCTTTGAGTAAAATTTCTCGACTTATACTTGAGTATAAAGGGAAGTTTGGCGCTGGTAAATGCAAATACAAATACAAAGAATAGGGCTTTTGATCAGGATGAACATAAGTCAGCAGTGTAGTGTAACACAAACATTGTATAGTTCTAGGATGCATTAATAAAAGTGTTCAAATCCCAAAAAGTAATAGCGCCACTTTATTTTGCATTGTTTGGATCTCTCTTGGGGTACTACAGTCTAGTTTTGGGTCCCATAGCATAAGAAAGATGCCAGAATAATGGAAAGTGTCCAGAAAACTGTAAGGTGCTTGGAGACCTAAGTCCTATCATTTGTTAAAAGCTCAGACACCCATATCATATGATGAAAGATTAGAGAAATTGGTTATTTTTGGCTTGGAGAAGACAGAGACACAGTGTGATTTTTTATTTGGAGTGCTTCTACCCTGCCCTTCTCAACCCCCTAGGGGGGGACTCAGGGCGGCTTACAAAAGGCACAATTCGATGCCCAACAATTCACAAAATACAATATACAAATTACAATATAACATCAACAGTTATAACTAGTTAAAACAATCAAATCAATACATAGCAGCAATAAAATCATCATGATACACAATGTTTGAAGACTGTCATGTAAATAATGAAACAAATTTAGATTGGGGATTGGCGAATGTGGAATAGTAAGGGGGGTGCATAAACTCCTTCGGAAAACTTATGAGGGCTCTACCCATTCCTGAACCCCCTCCCCCAAATAAATCAATAAAAATGCCACTAAATGCCTGCTCAGGGACATGGAGGTATTTTCACCATTGGAGACCTAGGAGAGACTTTTTAACAACAAGCAGTGAGTGAAAGTACTTATTGCTTTAGAAAAGACCTTTCCAGACCTAAATTGGACCCCCCCCCTCCCCCCCAAATCTGATGGAATCTCCTTTAGGGAATTTGCAGACAAAAACAATTTGAAAAAAAGGCTGGCTGAGGAAGCTGTTTGTCAGTGATGCAAAATACTTTGGAATTGGCGAATGAGGATTTAAGCTGATGGTAAATGTCTGCCTGATCATAGTGGCAGATCATTGGGTTTCTTGCATCGAAGGGGGCTAGACAAGATGATCATTCTGTGGCTTTCAAAATCTGATTCTGTGATAAGGAAAAATGCCAGTTGGTCTAAAATATAGTTGCTACTCTTAACTAGGAGCAGGCAGTATTTCACGAGTTCTAAAAGCACTATATTATCTTTTAGTCATTTCCCATGTACATTTGAAATTATTCATTTTAGCTTTTGAGATCCAATATGTCTTGAGTCTGGAATAGCTAAACAGTTGCCTTCTTACATTAAGCTGACTGATTGTTAGGATCATCAGTTGGGGCTCCTTCTCTGTTTGTCCCTGCTGCCAATGGTTATGATGTTGGTGATCAAGGAAAAGGTTTATTCACTTGAGTAGTCCTAGAGGAAGTTACCTGTTGCTAAAATAATGCATTTCAGAAAGCCAAAAACTTTGATTTTTAAATACTGATCTTGTTAGTATTTACTAAATGCATTGTTGTTGGCTGCTATTTTTGTCAAATGTGATATTTTATGTTTATTATTGCTTATTGTTAATTGTTTTTAACTGTTTAATTTTTATTGTTAGTACTGGTTTTTACAGGTTTTAATTTTTATTGTTAGTACTGGTTTTTACTGGCATTGAATTTTTGATGGAATTGTAAGCTGCCTTGAGTCCCTTCCGGTGAGAAAGACGGGGCAGAAATGAAGTAAATAAATGAATGAATGAATAAACATTTTAAATTTATTTTAACCTCACAACCTCTGAGGATGCTTGCCATAGATGCAGGTGAAACATCAGGAGAGAATGCTTCTAGAACATGGCCATATAGCCCGAAAAACCTACAACAACCCAGTGATTCCAGCCATGAAAGCCTTTGACAAATATACATTGTTTTCACTGTACACTACCTTGGAGGTTCGCACACACAAAAAACCAATTTTAAAACAATCACTATAATTTCCCTTACAATAAATAATTCTGGTATACAGATTTTATTATTTGAGATGTAGGAGTTAGATAAGGCAATTGTGGGAACAGTTTGCATGTTTTGATACTTTTTAGGTACCATGTTTATCTCTCAAAGAGTTTAACATAGTATTATAGTCCTTACTTTCCCCCCAACTTCACAGGCTGTGGAAGTTTTTATACGTATCTGTGGATAATAAAGCCCTTAAAGCCAGAGCAAAACATAGTTTATTTAAGGAATGGTGCACCTTAGTTTATTATAAAAGCAATGAATTCCCCTGCTTTCTAGTGAATTACACAGGTGTTTCATTATTTTATTAGGTGAAAGAAAGCGACTTGTGGCTAGATACAACTGTGAGAGTTAAAAGCAACACATTAGTTTAGTGACTTATTTTGCAGATATTTCTAAATGTCCAAGTAAAGTGTATATTATATACATATTTGGTAAAAGACCTCTCTTTCATTTTTTCATAATAATATCTAGGTGTTAGTAAAATAAATATATGAGATTCAGTAACTCATGCAGACAAAACATGTAGATGTTTTGAAGATGTGAGCATCAGCAATTTCTTTCTACTTTACCACTGATGTAATGTAATGTAAATAAATAATGTAATATCACACCAGAAGCGACTTGCAGTTTCTTAGGTCACTCCTGACACGACAAAAAAAAAAGTATTATAAAGAGAAGCTGGATGGTTGGATAGCTGGATAATACTCAATCCAGTTTGTGCTGGCATAAGATTGAGGAAGGCAAGGAAAAATAGCTTTCTTTCATGTGTTTTTTAAGCTGTGTAACTTAATGCAACTACACCCACTTCAACTGTGTCCTGGCTTACAGTCCATTGCTTTGTCCCACAGACTTTGGCATGAGTAATTGAAAACAAATTAAACCATAATAACTTTTTATTCTGTTTCTTCATTATACTAGATATGGCAGAATGTTGGGAGGCTGTGATCATTTGAGACTGATTTATGTGCACACACAACTGGGGATTTTTGTGTCAGTGCAGGTGGAGGTCGAATCCCAATTTTAATCAGAATGTTAATTAAACTATCCAGGATACTGGATGAAGCCAGGGACTTGTAGCATGTGTTCTAAGTCATTGCTTCTTAAATGGTTGGTCCTGACCCAAATAGGCCAATGTTGGGTCATGACAAATTTGGCAACAGTAAGAAGTTTCTGAACTCGTCCCCTTTTACATAAATCTGTTAGCAACAGCATGAAATCCTTACAGTGGACTTTGAAGGAAATGCTTCAGCTGTGCTTCACAAAAAGGAAATCATCTTGTTTATCAAGCCTTGCTGATTTAGTATCAGTAAATGAGTTTTATACCTATTTCATTTCCCTATATACCTGGAGTCATATTAAAAATGCTCAAGCAGAAAAGAGGTTGTGAGTGGGAAAAGTTTAAGAATCCCTGCTGTAAGATATGTATAACAAGCTGTTATACCATTTATACATTGAAGCTAAAAGACAAGGTAACAGATTTCCAGCTGAGATTGTGCTGGATCCTGAGCTCGTGAGGTAGAAAGCTTCTATAAATTGGCAAGTTATGGGGCTCTAGGACTGATTGTATGGAATGCTGGTCCCATTCTTCAGGCCATATGAGACATGCTTTGTGTTTGCTATTCACAGCTGAAAATGAGAGCAGGGGGGATGAGTGACTCATCAAAATGGAAAAAACAGAAGAGATCACCAAGGAATTCTTACCATGCAACCAAAACATCTCCAGGAACAGAGCCATCTTCTGCCAATGGTACAGGTATGGCAAGTAGCTCATCAGTCCAACCCCCTACCATGTGGGAACACACAATCAAACAATACCAAGAGATGGCCATCCATCCTCTCCTTAAAACCTCCAGAGAAGGGGATTCCATCACTCTTCAAGGCAGCACATTCCAATGCTGAACAGCTCTTACCATGAGGAAGTTCTTCCTAATGTTTAGGTGGAATCTCTTTTCCTGTAATTTGAACCCATTGGTCTGTGTCCTAGACTCCAGAGCATCAGAAAACAAGCTTTTCCAGTTGACAATACAAGCTTGCCTCCTCCTCAGTTGCTTGTTTTCTTATTTATTAGCTTCTGTTTATAAACATGTGTCCTGCTCTTCAGCAGTACTTTTGGTTTACACAAGTAAAACTGATCATACAAACAAACCATGTTAAATAAATATACCGATGAAATGCATACTTATGCTTAGGGAATTAAACATGTTCTCTGCTTAAGCTGAGAAGATAATTGTTGGTTCCAGGCAGGCTTCTTTGGGGCAAACATTCTGTAAATGGAGTGCCTTCATTGAGAAGACTTTCTTTGGGATGGGCCATTTTGAGAATGATAAAAACAAGGACAAATAGGCCTAGAGAGAGCCTTTATCTTAAAACTGTGACTATATTGAACTCTGAGGTTTCACACTGATGTGGCATTAGGTGTTGTTCAATAGCAATTACAATGTGGAAGGATGGGTGCTTTGTTTTGTAATTTGTACATATATAATATGATTAGAGATGGCATTTAATTGTGTTGTATAATGTACAATGACAATAAAGTGATTCTAAGAGAGGGAACTCTGGTCAAAGGGACATTGAGGTGAATCATTGAAGATGGACATAATGAATGTCAACCTTGCTTTCCCTTATTATCCTCTTCTAAGGATGCACAGCAGGAATCTAAGCTCTGCATCCTCAGGTGAGGATAAGAAGTGAATGGAAGGTTGACCTCAGTGACAAACACAGTGTCCACATAGAACTGTGACTCTGAGCTGCTAATGGGTATTTGGCTAACACTACTACTGCTCTTATCAACAGGTGGAGTAAATTTTATTGATGCACCTTCTTCCAGTTCGGAAAACACGTCTTCTACAGTCAGTCCTTCTACTGACAGTGGTGTAGATATTGCTTCCCATGTCGGCTCAAAGGAAGATCTTACTGACTTGCAAGTGGTTAGTTCTCTGGAAATAAATACAGCAGTGCCTTTAACAGAACATGGAGCCAGAGAGCTACTCGAATCCCAGGTACAAATATACTTATTGGAATGGCCCAGAAACGAATATATCATTGCAAATGCAACCTAGAACAAACATGTGAACAAAATGTACCTCTAACTGTAATCTTTGAATGGTGAACTTGCACAACCTTGCCCATCCTCTCGTTGCCATGCCTTGCTCTCTGGATAGTGCTGTTGTAGCATCCATGGGACTGAGGATTTAGGCAGGTATCAGAAGTATGTGAAGCTCACAAGATGGGTGGTGTTACTGATAAAAAACTTATGAAACAGCTCTAGAAGATGCCAAACAGTGCTGTGTGCAGGTTCACATAACCCATTTATGTGAGTTCACAGGGGACCACTTAAAGAACCGTTAATTCACTCTGCTTGATAAAAGATTATGGATTCAATTGTACATTTAAATTCAAGGTTTTCATTTATTTTAAAAAGATGGTTTTTAAAATTAGAGAAATATAGGCTAAGCTATTACTGACATTTTAAAAACTACAAGCATTTGAACATAAAAATATTTCATCTGTCCCATATCAATCTTAGTTCACATTTTACCCAGTTCTACTCTTGCAATCCTTCTCAGTAACAGGAACTAAACTCTTTTTCCCCACAAAAACAACTAGGGATATAAACCACAATGAAATTTCAAAGTATCAAAATTAACATAGCTAAAGATATCATGTACCAGTACCCTCAAGGGGTTCGCAAATTTGAAGAACTATAGATTCATGGGGAAAAGAAGCCTAAGAGGAGAACAGGTTGCATATAACTGTAGTTATTCTATATCTAAAGCAGCAAGGTCTTTACTAATTTCCTAATCATAATTATTATCTTTATTGCTCAAGAGTGAATGCCCTCGAGAGGAAAAGACTCCGTCTGCCTCAGTGGAGTCAATTCCAGAGGTTCTTGAGGAGTGCACATCTGTGACTGAACATTCAGATTCTGCTTCAGTTCATGACATGGACTATGTCAATCCTCGGGGAGTGCGGTTTACTCAGTGTTCTCAGAAGGAAGGTGAGTATAGAGTCTCCTGCTTTTATGCACCCTCTTCTCTATCAGGATTTGAATAATTTTGTATCCCTAGACCAAATTGGAAAGTCGTGTTTGTAACAACTTTCTGCTCACATTCTTTTCCTCAACCAGGAACAGCGTTAGTTCCATACGGGTTGCCCTGTATCCGAGAATTACTCCGCTTCCTCATTTCCCTCACTAACCCACATGACCGACACAACTCTGAGGTGATGATCCACATGGGACTACAGTTGCTCACTGTTGCACTAGAGTTGGCTTCTGTTGCAAACTTCCCATCCCTCCTAGGACTTGTTAAGGAAGAGTTATGTCGATATCTTTTTCAAGTAAGTTTAAACAACAAATTTTTGCAAATTATTAAATGCTGAGCATCTCTTATCCAGAATCCCAAAATATACCCAAATTCAAAATTGTCCATATTAGTGGCTGAGAAAGTGTCAACTTTGCTTTCTGATGATTCAGTTTCTACAAAATTTGTTTCATGCACAAAATTATTTAAATGTGTAGAAAATTACCTTCAGCCTCTCTCTATAAGGTATATGTGAAACATAGATTTAATTTCATATTTGGACTTGGGTCCCATCTTTGAGATATCTCAACATGTGCATATATCCAAATGCTAGTATTCTAAAATTTCCCAATATTTGAAATCCAAAACAATTATAGTACCGAGCATTTTGGATAAGGGATTCTCAACTTGTATTAATGTGTTAGGCAGTATCTTCGTAATTTAGCAACTTTGTATTACAGAACAAGTATTTTCTGTTGTGATTTTGGTTTGCTTTCCAGATTGGAGGAAAACTAATATATTTACATTACTGATCTTAAATATTTTTATAGTAACTATCTTTCAATTTTTTAATTCTTCTCCAGCTACTGAGTGTGGAGCGGCTGAATTTGTATTCAGCCTCCCTTAGGGTTTGCTTCCTCCTTTTTGAAAATATGAGAGAACACCTTAAATTTCAACTGGAGGTGAGTAATTGAAGTATAACCATTTATCTTTTTAAACAGATACTTCAAAATGCTTTTCTAAATTTTAAATAAAATTCTATCTAAGGATTTTGAATAATTTTGATATTATCAAGCTCCTTCCTGTGTTATTCCAAAATATAAGTATTATAGATATAGCGGACAATTGATTTGCCAATTTGATGCCAATCACATGCTATAGATAAACATGGCATGGCTAGGACTATGCTAGAGGTATTGTAAACAGCAATGGCAGTGGTCTAGTTACAAGAAAGCTATGGCATTTTGCTCATAAAAGAACTTTCTTAAGTGGTAGCTGGCTTCACCTGTGTGCCAGTATAAGTAAGAAATATCCTGAATCTGAGTTGTATGAGCTAAACCCATCTGACATTGCCTTCAGCAGGCTTGCATAATATGTGGCCCTCCAGATGTTTTGAATTTCAGCTCCCAGAATTTCAGACCATTGAACAAGCTGGTTCAGGCTTCTGGGAGTTGGAGGTCAAAGCTGATAGTTATGTAGGCTTCATTAAGAGGTGCTACTTTGGTATCCCCCTTGGGTTTCTCCTCACTGGAGCAATGTCTGATTGGTTCAATTTGTGGATGCTTGGGAATATATTAAATGGTACATAGTTGCAGAATTTATTCTGAGGATAGGGCCAGAAAGCACTATGCCTGAATACAAGCTAGGCAACACTTCCAATGATAAAACCTGCAAAAGTGAAGTGTCCTATGGAATGAGTGTGAGTAAACACTTTGGCTAATAAGACGGGGGCCAGTGATTAATGTGGTGGGCGTTTGGTTTGTTTGTTGTCTCCATGGAGGAAATGCACAGATGTATAACTGCCTTGATTATTTTTATTTTTATCTTGTCTCACTTCCAACATGAAAGCCAAGCCTTTATTGGGATTTGTAGTATGAACAACAGTAGAAGTATAAGAAGTGAAGTGATAGGAAGATTCCCTGTCCCCTAACCTCAGTATATCTCTAATCTTTCATGTGTTCTGAGATAACAAAATATCTCATTCTGTAGGAAGATATATTTGATTAAAAACATTTTTCACTCTTCATATGCCTGGGCAATGATATCACAATAGTATACAATTGCTATGAATACTAACATTTTTGTGTTGTTATTTGACTACCCATAGTAGTATTTTTATGTGCAAGTAGTTTGTGTCTGCATGGTAAAAGATGAATAAAGATAGCAACAGCTAGTGTACATCTTTGAGACTCTTGTTTGTTCTTTTTGTTGCATGGTTCCACTTGCAAAGCCATGTTTTGAGAGGGGCTTCATCTGTGTGTACCATCTTCGCGTACAAAAAGTGGCAAAGAAACTAACATAAAGGCTATCAAACATGAAATTAAGAACTCTTATTTTGCATTCCATCCCTTTTTCTGCTAGATGTACATTAAAAAGCTGATGGAGATCATCACTATCGAAAACCCTAAGATGCTCTATGAGATGAAAGAGATGGCACTAGAGGCCATAGTTCAACTCTGGAGGATACCTAGCTTTGTCACTGAGCTCTACATCAACTATGACTGTGACTATTACTGTGCTAACCTATTTGAAGATCTCACCAAGCTGCTATCCAAGGTCTTGGAAAATTATTTTGTTACTTTCTTTTCAGTAGAGTTTCATGCATTTCTATATAGCAGAAAAGCCATAGTTGGGTGTGGTGCTTCTTGAATGATAAAGTAAGAGCAATGTGTATGTCTTAAGAGGATGAGATTCATGTGAAGTGTGGCTAATGTGTAATTTCTTCTACAAGGTGCAGAATAGAATAGCCAGCCATGGAAAAAGATGATATGCTATAATGCCAATTCAATTAAATTGTCCTTCTGCTGTTAACTATTAATAACAGTGGGAAATCCAATCATGGGTCTTCTACTGTCATATATATTTTAGTAGTTTTTGTCAGTGATGTTTATGTTCAAAGCATATAAGAAGAATTTACTTGTTCAAAGATCTGGAAATCTATAGCTGACATATTCCAGGGAGCTTCAACTAAATATGGATCTCTGGTATATGTCAACACGCTAGATATCAGAGAACATCTACAAAGTGTTTCGGGGTGAGCATCTTTGATACCATATTTCACCGCAAAATAGTCACACTTTTTATCTCTTTTTTGGACCAGACTATTACACAAGGGAAAAAAATCTGCCTTTGATTCTCTGGTTTGTTTGTGTGTGTGTGTGTGTGTGTGTGTGTGTGTGTGTGTGTGTGTGGTGGTGGTGATGGTGGGGTTATTGCCGAGAAAGGGGAGGAAGGATGATCCAGCCTGAAATAATAGCTCTGTTTCTGTTTGTTTTTTAAAGCTGCTTTGCCTTGAAGGAAGGAGGAGGGAATATTTTCAATTCCTTCCACCTTTCTCCAAAGGCAAAGCAGTTTACAAAATCTGAAATGTAGCTCTCAGGAGAAAAGAGGGAAAATCCAGGGTCCAGAGACCTCCATTTCAGGTTTTAAAAACTATCTTTGCCTCAGAGAAAAGAGGAAAGAAAGAAGAATAGAGCTCCAGAGACTTCAGTTTCATAGATTTTATGCTGCCTTGCTTTCTGAGGAAGAAGGAAGAAATGAAGGAAGAATGAGCCCCAAATGGCTCTGTGACTATTGTGTAAGGAACACAAAAATATCAATTTTGACAACCCAAAATGGGAATATGACTTATTCAGTGGCGACTATTATGCGATGCAATATATTTATTTTCTGCTGCATACATTGGTATACATGAAGCACCACAAAATGTAAATCAATATCAGGGTTTGAGTAAACATTTAAAAACTTAAGTCAGTAAGGTATCATGTAGAAAACAAACGTACATTATTTGCAGGGGGAGGATTTTTTACGACGATATATGGAGGTTTGATTGCTTTTGTGGAACTTTGAGTAGAAGCTGTCTTGTCTAGTTTAACAATTTCCGATTCTTGATTTTTCCAGAATGCTTTTCCTGTTTCTGGACAATTGTACACCACTCACCTACTATCCCTTGAAGCATTGCTGACAGTGATAGACAGAACTGAAGCGCAATGCCAAGCCAAAGTACTCAGCAATATATACCAGCAGGAAAAAGCAGCACTAAAACCAAGCACGGAAACTGCTGGCAGTGTCAGAGAAACAAGCTCTAGTAAGAATTTTTTGTCTTATTTTTTTTTGTCTTGAAGTCTTGTCTGTTTTTTTTTTTTGTCTTGAAGTCTTGTCTGTTTTCCTCATTTCATTCTAGATAAGGCAGCTATACTGTTCTATAAATGTGTAGCTTCATTGTTGTGGTTATTGTGTCCAAAATCTCTTAAGTGTGGTGCAGCTTTTATAAGATTTTTTTTCCCCCAAAAAAAGTCTCAATCTATGAATTTCATTTTTAATTTTACAGATGAATTTGATATAGGCTACACCTATTTTTCTCCAAAATGTTATCTCAGAATAGTTATTGATTATCTGTACTGTACAGAATAATAACATTACCTCAACATTGTCCTTGATAACTGTAGTTATTGTCTGTCCTCTAGTTGCTGAGCGAACAGTTATAGTAGAAGGCAAGTCAGCCACTGAAGAATTAGCAGAGATGTCTCCACCCGCGAATGGTAGCTTGGTGACAAACCATATGCATTTGGAAGTGGGAAGTGATGCAGGTACATTTGATTTTAATTACCATTTAGGTACAGTGGATGCCAGTTGTGTTTTTGTTCTTTTTCTAATTCTCTGCAGCTATTAAACCATCATGTCAATCGGAATAATGAAAAATATAAATAATGCACATATACTTGAAGATGTAGCTACATCATGAAGTGTAGTCATTTGTAATTTTTGAAACAACGGTGTGAATTCTCTGGATCACTATAAATTACAAGACTGCATGTTAAAATATACTGAGAGCTGCTTGTTTGTATTGTGCACTTTATACGATGTAACATTGCTTTCTAAAATGTTCTTTAGCAGAAGCTTGATGACACGAGTGCATTTATTGCATGACAGGGGATTAGCATGGACGGCCTTTGTGGTAGTTTACACTTATGCTTCTATGCATAAAGCATGCCTTTGAATGTTTGCAGCTAGATTGCAAAGTTTTGTTCCTTATTAAGAAATACTCGTAATACTGCTGCTAGTTTGACATGGGAGGAAGAGCGGATTGTTTAATTGCATGTAATTAGCAGTTCTGTTTTGAAAGGATCTACGGTGAAATCACTCTACTTTTATTTTGAGCAGAAAAAAACACTCCAAAGAAGCCTACTCGCTTTTCCTGCCTCTTACCTCAAGTTCAAGAATTGATAATGATCAAGAGTAAAAAAAAGGTATGATTTGTTGTTAACGAAGCAGTTGTGTAGTAAATAAGTGCTGTTTAAAGGCACAGGATGAAGGGTAGTAGTAGTAGTAGTAGTAATAGTAATTGTTCTTTATTTTTTACCCGCCTCTCCCTGCTGCTTGAGGCGGGTTACAACACAAGTAAAAAAAACATGAACATTGCAAAAATTCAACAATTTTTTATGGCAGGTTGGATATTTTTTTGGTTGAAAAACATATTTTTTTAAAAAATGGGATGGGGGGAATCAGTTGGATTCTACCATCTTTTCACTGCACTTTCTCTACCCCAAATGTAAGTTGGAAAATATTTTTCATGGCCTATAACAGGTATGTAAAAGGGAATGTCCATTTGGTTCAATGCCCAAAGCATTTGAAATCCTAGATTTTACAATAGTATAGGCTCTACTTGTTTTATTATGCATATTACACACTAACCATAGATATGCAGATGTAATAACACCCTCGGCACATCTAAAGGAGTGAATTTTTCTATTCTGGCAAGCATTTGATGTATATAAGGCCTGATGTATGGGGCCATGATGGCGCAGCAGGTTAAACTGCTAAGCTGCAGAACTTGCTGATCAGAAGGTTGGCAGTTCATATCCACAGACGGGGTGAGCTCCCATTGTTAGCCCCAGTTTCCACCAACCTAGTAGTTCAAAAACATGCAAATGTGAGTAGATCGATGGGTATCACTCAGGTGAGAAGGTAATGGTACTCCATGCAGTCATGCTGGTCACATGACCTTGGAGGTGTGTATGGAAAACGCAGGCTCTTTGGCTTCGAAATGGAGATGAGCACCACCCCCCAGAAGTGGACACAAGTAGACTTAGTGTCAAGGTGAAACCTTTACTGAAGGCCTGCTTACACAGTCTACTGGATATTGCCAATTGTTATGCTTCTGTGTTTGTAATGCTATATGTTTTAACATAGTTTACTTTTTTTGATTATTTGATTGTGTTTTAACTTTTGTGTCTTGTTGATTTTCAACGATACTTACAATTATTGTAAGTATCTTTGAGTCTTGCATCTGGGGAATGGGCAGAATACAAATAACAATAAGGTTGTTATAAGGCATTGAATTTTGCCGTGAATATGCTGGAAACCGCTTTGAACCCCCTCAGGGATGAGACAAGTGCTATATAAATGAAGGAAATAATAAATAAATAAACACATAAACAAGCAAACAATAGTATAGGTTTTCATTCATATGGCATAGATGAGAAAACTAAGCACATTCTACCTTTTCTGGAGGTCTCAGTTATGTGATAGGCTCTTAGTGATGTAATGAATAATGTGTGAGCTGCACTTTGGAAAATTGCCATCTGTGCAAGTTTTTTTCCTGAAGTGACTTGAAATGATATATCCATGTATGATGTCGCTTGAGATCTTGAATGCTCATGTCCATTAATTGCACATTCATGTTGCAGTGACTAAAGTGTAAGCTTTTTCTGAAGGAACAAAGGAGGATGCTGTACTGTACATATCCATATTTTCTTAGTGTCACAGTCATTGAAGTGTTGCTTCCTGTTAGTGATGGGCAGCAACCGAAAACTGACATTTATTCTGGTGCTTTGGTAAAGTTCACATAAGTGTTTGTACTGGATCTCTAGTCACACACAACCTTTTAGTTAACCCTCTCTTGGGTAACTGCTTATGACATTATCCACTTATATTATGTATCCCTGAGCTTTAGATGCTCTGTTCTGACAAGTGTGGAAAATGGTTAAAATACAAACCCTGTTCTTACTCAATAATTGACTACATCCCTCTTGAAGAACATAAAGATGAATGTGTCATGTTTCTGCTATACTTTTAGGCCTCATTGTTATCTACAATTTTTTCAAGAAAAAGTCCAGATTATGCATTTACAAAAATTGTTTTGCTGCTAAGAAAACCAGTTATTTACAGTTCTACTAAGTTTACTAAATAACCAAACATTTCATTCTCAAAACCAACCCAGCGTCCAAATGCTTACTCAATTTTTAATTCTGTTGACTTTGTTAGATGTTTTATTGTTGACTATGCTTTTAAATATACTTGTTTAGTAATTAGTTGTTCTATTTTATATATATATATATATATATATATATATATATATATATATATACACAATTTCATTTGATTAGTGCAATTCTGTTATTATTCCATATTATGTTTATTGTTGTAATGTTCTGGTAAATGCTGGCCATTGAATATTTGCCTTTGTATGTGTAAACCTCTCTGAATCCCACGGTGAAGATAGGGTGGTCTAAAAATAAAGATTAGTTTCTCAAGTTGCTCCTGACACGACAAAAATATTATTATTATTATTATTATTATTATTATTATTATTATTATTATTATTAGGAATATCTGTTTTCTCTTCAGTTTTGAGGGCCCAGGGCAAAGATTGTGCTTACTTATTCCAATAAGCAAGACCTGGAACACTTTCTTATTGATTACAACAATATATGTAAAGCTGTGAGAGATGAAAGCCATTAGGTTTTGGTTTTTAGTCCTTGACATTGTAAGTGACTGTTAAGATAGTCAATAATAATAATAATAATAATAATAATAATAATAATAGACCCAAAGTGTCTCACGACCTTTAAAACCTACAATTTAAAAACCTACCAAACACAAAGTTATTAGAGTAATTTAATCTGTGTAGAATGTTTTGTTTAATAGAATTTATTTGTCTTTTTAAGCTCTTGATAAATGGTTCAGAACAATTCAATCAAAAGCCAAAGAAAGGAATACAGTTTCTTCAGGAGAAAAAACTCTTGAGTACTCCCATGGATAATAATGAAGTGGCAAAGTGGCTGCGGGAAAATCCTAGACTTGACAAGAAAATGATTGGCGAATTCATAAGTGACCGGAAGAATGTAGATTTACTGGACAGCTTTGTCACGTGAGTAGAAAACCTGAAGCTCCTAAAATATTTGGTCACAAATGGGGAAGCGGTTTTAAGGGTTCTGGCGTGGGAAATTATGAATGGGCTGATGGTTTTTATAAAATCATAGCATTGAAAGGAACATGGAGAAAATATTTAAATAATTTCTGAAATATTTTTAGATAGCTTCTCCTTAGTTAGCTATTCTAAAGTAGAGCCCATCTCTTCCTGAGATGCGTATCCTCTATCAAACATTTCTTACCTTTTGGATGTTTCTCATGCTTTCCTGAATTCTTCATCTTTATTTTTTCTGCCTAATAATATTAATTGTAATCTTGTAAGAACTGGGAGGATGGGGACGGAACACTTTCCCCATCTTTTTCAGATATTTGAAGACAACTATTATATATCTCCTGATAGGCTAAATATAATGAACCCTTTCAACTATTGTTTATAAAATTCAATATCCAGTCAATTCATCATCTTAATCATCCTGCTCTGATCAAAATACAGGTTGTCAATATACTGTGCTTAAAATTGCTACACTGATAATAGATTTCCAGATGTTTTGCCAGAACAATGAAGAACGAAGTGGTATATTAATTGAAGTATTGCTGTTCATGATCTAGATACTATATTTCTGTTAATATGATCTGAGGCTGCATGAGCATTTTAGTAGCTGCATTACTGTAGCTTTAAAAAAAAGATATTTAGATTGTTTTCATTGTTGCCAGACCAGATCTTTTCTAGACAACCTGTTGTTCGATTTGGTCTCTGATTCATTTCACCTTATCAGTTTTGGCTCAGTGTCCCAATCTGCCATTATTGAATACTGATTGTGCCTTTTGTTAATGTTAATTTTCCCTTCAAATTTTGTGTGTGCAAATTTGGTAAGCATCCTTTCCACACACCTATTCATGTTCTTATAAATTTTGAACAGTACAGGGTCTAGGACAGAGCCATCCACATTTGATAGTAAAAAAAAAAAGATGAGAAATGAGAGAAGGAGGAAATATTACATTTCTTTTACCAGTTTGGGCTGGAAAGGGGTATTGGGGCAGAAGCTTTTTGCCTCTTCTCTTTGATACCTACCTTCATGTTGGGGTCTCTGATAGAGGCAGGTTGCTTTATTTTATTTTCTCCTCCCTCCTCCCCCATTCCCTTTTTTTCCAGGCTGCATTCTCATTATTTATTCTCATTTATATCATTTATATTCCTTTCTCTACTTGTATAGATGAAGACATAGCCATCGCAGAGGCAGCCTGTTTATTCTGATTTTAATAAATTAAACTAGAAATTTCACTAACTTTTATATTAACGATGAGAGTGAATAGGTTTTGACAAGACCTGCACAAACTAGCTAACTCTATAGCATAGTTGAAGTACTCAGCAGTGCAAAGGACAGTGTCCTTAGCAATAATAATACTGTTAGAGCAGGAACCAAAGCTTGAACAAACCCATATATTTTTAACAAAGTCTCTTACCCCTCAGATATATATATATACTGTATTGAGCCTACCTTCTAACTCTTTCTCTTGATTTTTTTTGTTTTCATTCTAGAACCTTTGGTTTCCAAGGCTTACGATTAGACGAAGCCCTGCGACTCTATCTAGAAGCCTTCCGGCTGCCGGGAGAAGCTCCTGTAATCCATAGGCTGTTAGAAGTTTTTACAGAACATTGGCGCGTATGTTTTAAAATGGTCATAAACCTTTGTTTTGTCATAGTTCTTATGCTAAATAGCACTTCTTTAGGCTTACCTAATTTCAGTCAGGCAGCAGGGAAAGAAATGTCATAGAATCATAACCTCATAGAGTTCGAAAGAGACCACAAGTGCCATCCAGTCCAGTCTTCTGACATGTTGGAATACCCAATCAAAACAGATGGCCATCTAACTTCAGTCTCTGGAATAGGAGACTTCACAACTCTCTGAGGCATCATATTCCACTCCTGAACAGCTCTGACTTCCAAGTTCTTCCTAATGTTTAGCGGAATCTCTTTTCCTGCAATGTCAGATTAAGTCACATTATATCTGTCCCAACTTGTAGCTCCAAAAGTCATTTCTATGAGAAAGTTTCAAAACCAGCAAATGACAAACAGTGATGAAAATAAAATAAAATAGAAACACTTGGGCAGTCTCATAACAAGAGAACCTAGGAAGTACTTTAGTATTGCATTTCTGTTAATTACATAACATCTGATTTGCATTGTTATTCTGCTTTTCAGAAATCAAATGGATCTCCCTTTGCTAATAGTGATGCTTGTTTTGCCCTGGCCTATGCAGTTATCATGCTGAATACTGACCAGCACAACCACAATGTTCGCAAACAGAATGTACCTATGACGCTAGAGGTGAGAGTTGGCATTATCACAGCGTCTGCTATGCTTTATGTCTATTTAATTAGTTCTGTCATTACTGATGTAGAAATAAAAAAAATAGAGGTGAAATAGCCCTGTTGTTACTTCATTTGTAATAAAATACCGAGAAAAGTATGGTAATAGCTGTGATGACTTTTTCAAGAAGGTTAAGAGTAATGCAATTCAAACATGCTTCACAATGCTTTTATTTTCCTCCACTGCTATTTACAGGAATTCCGAAAAAACCTGAAAGGAGTAAATGGAGGCAAAGATTTTGAACAGGACATGCTGGAGGACATGTACCATGCTATCAAGTAAGGGTTTGATTGCTCGCCTTTGAATTATCAGAGAGACCTTTGTTGATAAATAGCCCTCTTTGACACTCTTCTTAAGACATTTTGAGATACAAAACATCAATTCACAATTCATTAGGCTATTATCGTACCTTGTCTGCTATGGTGTACTGATGCTGAATGCTAGTAGGAAGATGTGTAATGTTTTTGCAATAATTTCTGCTAGAAATGAAGAGATTGTGATGCCAGAGGAGCAGACAGGTCTAGTAAAGGAAAACTATGTATGGAGTGTGCTGCTGCATCGTGGGGCCACGGACGAAGGCATTTTTCTGCATGTCCCACCTGGAAGCTACGACCATGACCTCTTTGCTATGACCTGGGGACCTACTGTTGCAGCCCTGTCCTATGTGTTTGACAAGAGCCTAGATGAATCCATAATCCAGAAAGCTATTTCTGGTTTCAGGTACTCTTTGCATTTTCCAATAGTATATACAGATTGTCTTACCAAAACATGTTGATTCCATGAACAGTCTATTGACACATTCCAGCAAGTGGGGTATATCTTAGGGTTTGAATGTATCTCCCTCTATGAGCCTACAAGAGCTTTCAGATCAGCTGGGGAAGCCTTGCTCTCTGTCCCAACCCCTTCGCAAGCGCAGTTGGTTGAAACAAGAGACAAGGCGTTCTCAGTAGTGGCCGCTTGGCCGTGAAACTCCCTCCCCAGTGACATTAGGCAGGCGCCATTGGTCCTGGTTTTTAGAAAGAAACATAAGACCTGGCTTTTTAAAGCAGTGCTTAGTGAATAGGAAACTACGCAATGAGACTTTAACAGCTTGAATAATGGACTATGGATTTTGATTTGGATATGAGACCATGACTTGGCATTTTATGTGTGGTTTTTAATCTGTTAGATTGGTAAGAGTTTTAATTGTTTAAATTCTTAGATTGTTTATATTTTTATGAGTTGTGTTTTATTGTTACCTGTGCTGCATTGAATTTTTGCTGGATTTGTAAGCTGTCTTGAGTCCCCTCTTGGGTCAAAAAAGGCGGAGTAGAAATGAAGTAAATAAATAAAAAATAACAATAATGCATAAGACAGATTTACGTGGAGCTAATCTTTTTGTAAAGGCAGACAGAGTTATCCTTCCCCTCGATTTTTAAATGCAATTTTAAAACAAACATAGACACAAATAAAAAAACAACAGTGCCTATACATACTTAATTTTCTCTCACCAACAAACCTCTCTATCCTAAATGTAAATCTGAAAAACACACATGGATATATCAAGTTATATATGCGTGTTGGTTGATTTGTTTGTACCATAAAGGCTCCTACATGGCTTGATGGATCTGAATTAGATTTGGCAGATCCTTCATTATCCAAATTGGTACCCTTCATTATCCAACTTAAAATAAGGCCCCAGTTCTGGGGAAAGGAAAAGGAACAGAGCGGATTGGTTATTGTTAGGTGAAGTGGCTCTCTGTCATGGGCCTGAGAAAGAAAGGGGGTGAAGCAGATTGACTGCTGCTTGATGATATATGTCTGAGAGGAAGGGAGGAAGGAAAGAAGGAAGAAGGAAGGGAATGAGAGAGGGGAAAAGAAAAAAAGTTAGTTAAGGAAGAGACTGGTAAGGTATGAGGGAAGAGAAGAAAGAAAGAGGAAAGAGAAAGGAAGGGAAGAAAGAAGAGACGTAGGAAAGAAAAAAGAGCAAGGAAGGACAAAAAAGGAAAGAAAGAATGAGGGAGGGAGGATGTATGAGGGAAACGGAGGGAAGAAGAAAAGGGTGATACTTACAGAAATCTCAGTGTGAGATTCCTTCTAAAATTTTGATGGCTTTTCTTTCAGAAAATGTGCTATGATTTCTGCCCATTATGGCCTCAGTGATGTTTTTGACAATCTCATCATTTCACTCTGCAAATTTACAGCTCTTAGCAGTGAGGTGAGTCTTGAAATGGAATATTACGGCTTGGGGCAGATTTCAGAGTCCTAAAATTTAAACTTTGTTAGTGATAACCTTGGTAAATGCTGAATGCGGGAGATGGGGGAAGAGAAATTGAATAGTGGAATGATGGAGAGAGAGAGAGAAAATAGATCCATAGAGAAATTTCTCTACAGGCTTGGGGATTTGCAACTGTATTTTGCACAAACTCATGTGGTAGCTAAAAAAGCTATAGCAATGCTTGGCTGCATCAGTAGGGTGGAGTGTCCAGATCAATGGAAGACCAGACTTCACCTGGAATACTATGTCCAGTTCTTGGCAACACAACAGAAGGAGCTGGAACGTGTCCAGAGAAGGGTGACTAAAATGCTCAAAGGTTTGGAAGTTAAGCCTATGAGAAGCAGCTGAGGGAGAAATGAAGGCTGAAAGGGGACATGATAGCCATGTTTAAATATATGAAAGGATGTTATATTGAGGAGGGACAAGCTGCACTTGACACTGGGACACAGAGCAATGGATTCAACTTACAGAAAAAGAGATTCCACCAGAAGATTAGGAAGAACTTCCTGATGATAAGAGCTGTTTGGCAGCAGAATAAGTTTCCTTGAAGCATGGTGGAGTCTCCTTCTCGGGAAGTTTTTAAGCAGAGATTGAATGGCCATCTGTTAGGGGTGCTTTGTCTGTATGTTCTTGCATGGCAAGAGATGGACTAGATGGCCCTTGTGGTCCCTTACAACTCCACAATTTTGTTTTTGTTTTAAGAGCACTCCCATAGCAAATGTGATATTGTTGAAGCAAATTCTAACCAGAGTGGTGGCCCTGAACTGTGTAATCTTTCTCTAGCACAGTGGTTCTCAACCTATGGGTCTCAAAATGTTTTGACTTACAAAACCCAGAAATCCCAGCCAGTTTATCAGCTGTTAAGATTTCTGGGAGTTGAAGGCCAAAACATCTGGGGACCCACAGGTTGAGAACCACTGCTCTAGCATATTGATAGTTGACCTCAGATCTTCCTTTGACTGTTTTGTCTTCTCTAACTAGTCTATTATGGGTTGGGGACTCACTGCATCTCCTTTCCTTTTATCCTGTAGTCTATTGAGAACCTGCCTACGGTTTTTGGAAGCAATCCTAAAGCCCACATTGCAGCGAAGACTGTATTTCACTTGTCTCATCGCCATGGTGATATTTTGCGAGAGGGCTGGAAAAATATCATGGAGGCTATGCTGCAGCTTTTCAGGGCAGAGCTTTTGCCAAAAACAATGGTGGAGGTAAAAAAATTGACATCAGGCATATGGTTGCCTTCAAAGGGCCACTGAATCCATTGACGGGGAATCTGTGAATACAGATGGCCAACTATAATTGTTTTACATAGTAGTTGGTGCTCTTTAGTTTTTATCCAAATTTGGATATTGTTGAAAAATAACTTCCATAACTTATGATTATCCCCAGTCTGTATGGAATGATAATGGGAGTTGCAACACAGCAGCACTTGTGGCTCTAGAAAAGTTAAAGGGTTTTTTAAAGTCAGACATCATATCTACAAGCCTTGTATCTAAGTCAAAATCCCACTCTCCTGAATAAACAGAACAAACTGCATCTTCCCAGGTGTGGCTGGATCACACCTGCCATCAGATCTAGTCATAATATCTAATGAGGAGGAATGCAGGCATTTTAATCCAACAGCTGTAGGAGTACATAAAATGACATGGTGGGCTGGATTCGATCTATGGACCTTAGGTTTGACACATGTGATCTATACTGTTTATAGTTAAGCACATCTAATGAGATGAAACCAGCTGGTGTAATTTTCTTAATTAGAAGAGGAAATGGTTGGTGACAACTATTAATTTCTAATATAATCTAGTGGAAATCTGTATTTGAAAAAAAATACTGAAATATTTGCCAGGAATCAAAGATAAGTCTAAAGCCTTATGAGATGTTAGTAGTGTTGGAGAATGAAAAATATAAGGAGATTCAAATGAGGAAATAGCATATACATGTGTCTAAATCCAACTGCTTGTGCTTATAAGAATAGATAGGTTCTATTGGCTGCTGTATGTACTGATGCAAATTTGAACCTGTTTGTTTGAAGGCTCGACAATTTTTCAAGTACTAACTCTGAACCATAAATTGAAGCAGCTTAAAACCAAAGGGAGTGCCCATCTAGTGGAAGCTAACAACCACATTGAGCACACTTAAGGACTATATAACCTGAGACAAAAAAGAGCCATAATTATAAAACACAAGAAGTGAATGTCTTAAAGCTTGATAAGAACTTGGTCAGATAATAGAAGGAGACAGGTTTGTCTTCAGCATAACTAGTTAACAGTTAAAAAGGAACTGATCAGTATCCTGTTCTAGTTGCATAAACTCAGTGAAGGGGGATCCTCAGCTTTCTAGCCAGAATGTTATGAGTGAAATCTCTATACATCAACAAAGCCCATGGGACTTAGGTTTGCACAGTTGTGTCTGGTGGGACAAACCTGACTGGTGTCACCAAAGTTTAGTAGATGAGGAATAAGGGAACCTCATCAGTTCCAGCACCCTGGTTGTGCAACTACCTTTCCCCCCTCTTTTAATGCCAGGTGAAATCTTAGGTCCCTTCTACACTGTCCTTATATCCTAGGACCTGATCCCTGGTTGTCTGTTTATCCCAGATTATATGGCAGTGAAGACTCATATAATTCCGTTCAAAGCAGATAACCTGGGATCAGATCCTGGGATATAAGGACAGTGTAGAAGGGGCCTTAGTTTGCCTGGTAAGTTTAGTTTATGATACTCTTCTGTGTTTCCTTTTTTAAAAGGGACTATATTTGTTATGTTTGCATCATTTTATGGTAAAGACTTGTTTAGACCACCTTATCTCTTAAACTACCCTGTTATCTGCTTGATGTAGAATGATTCAACAATACCGGCATATTAATAAAATAATGTTTAAATTTTGGAATATATTGGTTTGGTTTGTAGGTTGAAGATTTTGTGGATCCCAATGGCAAGATCTCTCTCCAGCGTGAGGAGACACCTTCCAATCGGTGAGAAACCCAGGCAGTTTCATAGACTATCTGTTGCCAGATCCAGGTTTATTGAGTTCTGAATGCAAGTCCATTGAAAAGAAGGCTAGTGACTGCTAGAGGGCACCATCTACACTTGCAATTAAATGTGGAATGCTTTTATTTGGGATGCAAGTCTGGAAACCATCCCACTGCAGATGCTCAGTCTTTGTTGGGTTTTTATAGAGTCCCTCCTAGATTTTTGTAAGATTATTTATATTTTTGCAAGATGTCGGATGTTGGATTAGCAAAGCCTTCTAATACACCCCCCCTCCCCCCCCCCACACACACATTTGTGAGACAATTATGGTGCATCAATTACACAAGAATTGGGAATCTCAGAAAGAATGTCCTATTCCCTATCTTTCTTTTTTGTAGTGGTGAATCTACAGTGCTGAGTTTTGTTAGCTGGCTGACACTCAGTGGCACAGAACAGTCCGGAATGAGGGGACCTTCGACAGAGAACCAGGAAGCAAAAAGAATGGCACTGGAATGCATTAAGGTAATTCATGGCCAGAAAGAAAAGAGTAAACATATATTAAAAAGAGGACAGTGGGCTCTGTTTGGCTTCCAGAACTTCACTATAGCTATTCTTCTACAACAGGCATGGGCAAACGTTGGCCCTCCAGGTGTTTTGGACTTCAACTGGCACAATTCCTAACAGCTAGTAGTCTGTTAGAAATTGTGGGAGTTAAAGTCCAAAACACTTGGAGAGCCAAAGTTTGCCCATGCCTGTCCTACAACATAACATGAAGTTGAATTTCAAATGTGCAGTTCCTATCTACCCAAAATGTGTGTAAGATGGGGATTTGCTTCTCTCCAAGTCAGCATGAATTATGAATTCTATCCAGCCATTTCTTTTAGGAGCCCATAGCTGCATTTTACTGTACAACCTAAGCTGACAGAAAGAATGGCTTCATATCCACACGAACCCTTGTTTTTGAACTGATCTGTAGCATGAAAAAGATAGTATAGAATACTTTATGTTAAATAAATAATAAAACCCTATCGCTCTATGGTAGTGGGTTATATGGTAGTTACATTCAGTCTTATGTGAATGGCCTTCCATTTACTCAATGGGAGCTTCACTTTTCATCCTCCCAAATTGTAGCCTCCCAGGTGCCCTTCAAACCTTCTCCAAAAGGTTCACCAACTCTCTATAGCATATTTGAAGAGTTTGGAGGAAAGATACTGGATACAACCTGCATGGAGGGTCTTTTGCCTTGAGAAGGGATGAGGAAGACAATTGTCACATAGATATTTTCTTGTACAACTCCCACAGCCCCTTACAATTCACCATGCCAGTGACCCTAGCTGAATCCCTGTTCAGAATCAAGGCAGATTTAAAAATATAAAAACACAACAATTTATTCAGAGAAAATGAAGTTCTCTTATTGCTGTTTGTCTTGGGATTATTTTAGACATAAATAAACTTTGCTTCTGTCCTAATGTACATCCTTTTTTTTCTTTATAGCTATGTGATCCAGAGAAATTAATCACTGAAAGCAAGTTTTTACAGCTGGAGTCCCTGCAGGAACTAATGAAAGTAAGTAAATCTTCCAAGCATGTATGTGGTCTGAATAGGGATGACTATGGGCTGTGTGCTTTTGCAAACAGGGATTCATTTCAGACAAAACTCTGATACATCTTTCTTAAGAACAGTTCTGTTCGTGAATTAGGAATTTTCAGGTGAAACTAGTGGACTGTAAGCTTAATCAAGTGTAGTGGTCTGGAAAAAAGTTATTTCCCCCACTTACATAAATTGTATAGTAGTAGTGGTAGTGGTAGTAGTAGTAGTAGTAACAATAACAACAACCAAACAACTTTATTTTATTTTTATATCCCGCCACCATCTCCCCGAAGGGACTCAGGACGGCTTACACATGGGACAGAATATCCACAAGACATAAAAGCAAAAACCATCTATAAAACAACATTCATTGAAATGAAAGCATCATAAAGTAGAACAACCCAAATATAATACAAAGCATAAAACAGATTGCATCAAGGCCCTGTTAGATCGGGTTCAACAAAAACCAATGAGCAAGATAACTCAAAATGATTTTATTGAATAGCCATTTGGCCTTATCAAAATAGACAATATAAACACAACATACAGTGTACATTAGGTCCAAGTAAAATTATAAATGTTACAAGTACAGATAAAAAAGTGGGGATGTCCAACTTATAACCAAATGTACCTTAATCTTAGGTTTACATATCAGATGTGCTCGTCCCCCTTACACTGTATACCTATCTGATCAATATACAATATATGAGCAAGATTACTAAAATGAGCATGAGCAGGCTAGAAAAGGCTGGGCAAGGAATCGTGTAAATAGCGTACATCTGGTACACTATTTATATATGGTTGCATTCTAAACATTTGAATTTCACTCCATTGTTCAATAACCAAACTGGGCAAAAATCCATATTAAGTCAATTTATCTTATTTGGGGTTCCTTAATTTTAACAGAATATTGTAAAGTACCTCAGTTCTCCAGAACTCTTTTTTCAACAAAGAAAGCAAAGAGGAATGGGCTGATGTTTAAACCACAGGTACTGCTTAGAAAGTTGTAGGAGGGTCCAGACATTTGTACATTTTGCTGGATACAACATTAGGTTCTTGGCAAGAGAATGGGTATATGTGGATGTATGTGGAATGTTTATCTGATACTCCATATTATGCTCTAAAACTGTAAATTTGTTGATGTTCTTTTATTCCTTCAGGCTCTTATTTCTGTGACTCCTGATGAAGAAACATATGATGAGGAAGACTGTGCCTTTTGTTTGGAGATGCTTCTGAGGATTGTACTGGAGAATAGGTGAGCTACATCAGTGTCTCATCATTGGTATTCCAACTCCTGAATTTCTGTTTGTAGAAACTTTTGTTTTGAGTCAGTTGTGTTTGAATTTCCATGTTGTGTTTAGCCAGAATTTTTAAAAAAATCATAACTCATTCAAAGTTTGCACTAAATATCAGTCTGATTGGATGCCGTTTTGAGAAGGAATATGAACTTATGTGCGTAATCCATTTGGGTTGTGGACCATCTGAAGCTGTACATGCTGATGTCATTTTATCACAATTATTTTTACTCCTCCATCTTTCTCTAGGGATCGGGTAGGCTTTGTGTGGCAGGCAGTGCGAGACCATTTTTACCACTTGTGTGTAAATTCCTTGGAGTATTGCTTCCTGGTGGAGAGGGCAGTGGTGGGGCTGCTGCGGCTGGCGATCCGTCTGTTGCGCAGAGAAGAGATTAGTGCTCAGGTAAAAATGACTGCCGTCATACATATTGCTCTTGTTCAAGGAACTACTTTCATTTGTCTCTGGAATGTTTGCTTTATTCTGCTTTATGGTTGTTTAGCCATCAGGATGCCTATTGCCTTTCTTTGAAAGTTCAGACGTCATGCAGCTGCTCATGCTTTTTTCATCAAAATGGCAATGGTTTATCAGCAGACTTAGGGAACTCCAAAGTTTGCAAAAGTACATAAAATATTTATGAAAAAGATCAAGAAATGGGGTGCTAAATATGTTCAGAATGTTGAATGCAAATGGGAGTGAGCAAATAGATGTGAATTGAATTGAATCCTGTAAGAGTTCTAATTTTTTTGGCTGGCCTTGTCTATAACTAAGCTTCTGATTAGTTATAGACAAGTATTTCCAGTGTCAAAAGTGTCCACATCAACCACCCTGTGAAAAAGACAGGTGAGAGGCACCCCAGTTTCAGAGTTGATCATAGAAGGAGCTTGAAAGCTAACACAACACATAATCTGAAAAAATATCTGAATTCTGCATTTGTCTTCAGTAGGGAGGGATAGAGGCAGTTTCAAAAAATGTTCCGTGCTGAGCTTCTGAACTTTAGAACTGAATAATGACTGAAAGGCTTCCTTTTTACCTGTACAGAGAAAATGTGTAGTGCCAGCTGATTTTTAGTTACAACTGCCTTCCACTAAGTCTTGGATTGTTGCCAAGATGTGACCTCACACCTCTGTATTTCCCATTTTGGGAAAGATGGGTTGCTTGCTATACTCACAAGGAGAAATTTGATGAAAATACTTATTGAAGTTGAATGTTGTGTAGGAGGCCATGGCTGACGGATTAGAATGGAACTAGGAGCATTCCACCCCGTAACATTTCGGTGTAGGTCTTGCCTATATTACAAACTCTGGGGAAGCAACCACAATGGAAAAAAAAAAGGTATTAGTGGAAAGGAGAATGCTGCCAGTGTTCCTGAGAAGATGTAAAAGAGGGAAAGTTGGTCTAGTGGGATTATTTGATCAAAGAACAGGAAGAATTAATAAATCCTATGAGAGGTTTTCCCAATTCCTGAGTCATGTGCCACCTGATGTTTCTTTTGAAATAACAAGAATTGTGTTTGGCGCTTTTTCTTTTTTTTGTCAAACTGTTTTTGAAGTTATAGATATAATAAATAAAACTGTTGCACAACCTTTGAAGTACTTATGTTTTTGTTAGCAGCGAAGAGTTTCTTATGATTAGCATTGATCAGGCTTGAAACAACATGTGCAACTATCTCACTGTACTAATATCAGGTGTCTAAGGCCCACAAAATGCTTAAAGTAGCTATAATTTTTAAAGGGCTTGACTAGTTGAAGTATAGAGAAAGAGTCACAAAGATTAAACAATCCTCTTGTTGTTTTACACTTAACTGACTGAGGGTGGTGGTGGCAGTGTCTACAAGTAAAGATCCAGAATGAAGCAAATGTAGATGTATTCTGGATTTCGGTACTTACCATTGCTTCCCTCTGTAGGTCCTGCTTTCCTTGCGCATCCTGCTCATGATGAAACCTAGCATGCTGAATAAGGCCAGTCACCAGATTGCATATGGACTACATGAGCTTCTCAAGACAAATGCTGCCAACATCCACTCTGGAGATGACTGGTACACCCTCTTTACACTCCTAGAATGCATTGGCTCAGGGGTAAAACCACCAGCAGCTCTGCAGGCCACAGCAAGAGCAGACAATGACACAGGTAAAGTTGGCCAGTGGCAATGGATCCTATCATTGAGGAATCTTGTGGCAACTTATTGGGTGTTTTTATTATTATTTTATTATTATTATTATTTACTTTATTTATAACCCACCATTCTCCTCAAGGTGGCTAACAACCACATTATCTAGAAACAATTTTAAACAAAGTAAATGCAAAAATAAAAAAATTAAATATTAGTGTGTCAATATAAAGTTAAAAAACAATAAATGCAATTAAAATGTGTTATTTGTGGAAAGGATTTTATTTATTTATTTACTTTATTTGTATACCACAGTTTCTCAGCCTGTAGGCGACTCCCCCCCCCACCCCCCCACCCCCACAAGACTCAGTATAATCTACCTGAAATAGTAAGGTGGGAATCTTGACACAACAGGATGCTTTGGAGTTTTCTGTGACATGGTTTACTTTTCCATTGAAGCATCAGAGACATGTTCAAGATTTTAGACAGACACTCACAAAATTGGAGGATTTATTTATTTATCTATTTATATTAAAGGGGCACAGTCAGACAGTGAGATTTCATGTCATTCAAATGAAGCCAGCCTGGATCGTGGCTACACTTCAGATTCAGAAGTGTATGCAGATCACAGCAAACAAGGCAAAATGCACCGCTCTATCACTGACGTGGATGTGGTGAACAGTGGCTGGCTTGTGGTAAGTAATGATGTTGACCTGCTTTATGGCCTCCCACCATCTTCTCCAGTGGTCAATAATAGGAAGCTACTTATGATTAGTTAGACCATCTGTCCATCTAGCTGACTATTATTTACACCTGACTGGCAGTTTTCTAACATTTCAGACAAGATTGTGTGCCCTATCTATCTTTAGATGTTACGAATTGGATCTGGAATTTTTTGCATGCAATGAATGTACTGGATTATTGGGTTGCTGTGAGTTTTCCGGGCTATATGGCCATGTTCCAGAAGCATTGTTATACTGGATTATTATCCCTCTACATAAGATGTGACAAGTTAGAAAAGGAAAGTAACAAAGATCACTTTCCAGTCTAGTATCTGGCATGCTATTCTTGATCACTTGGCAGCTTTGTTTGTTTATTATTTGTGGGTTTTATGTCACCTTATGGACCAGTCTTCTTTAGATTATAGTCACAATGATTAAAGAAAAACTGAATATATACAGTTAAAGTACAGTAAATGTAATCTTTAAAAATACAAATACTGTAGGTCAATTTCAGAACCAAGAAACAACAAATCCAATGAACAACAGCAATTATTTATTTTAATAGTGTTTGTTTATGCTCCAATGACCTGAGTAAGTATTAGGCATGTAGAGCTGGTGACACAAAGACTAAACTATGGAGAACATTCTATGTTCTGGATGCTGTCATTGAGGAAGTCCTCTCCTTAGTAACCACCTGCTAGATTTCATATTGTAGCAGCATTAGGAGAAGGACTTATTGACAGGATCAAGATACATAGTGGAAGAGATTAGTTAACCTTCTGTCGGGCCTTAAAAACAGAACTTTGATCTGATTCTAGAAATACCCCGAAGTCTTTTGTCTGGTTCTAATTAATGGAATGGGCTACATGTGAACAGGCATGCCTCATAAGAATATCTGTTTGCAAGAGTAGCTACCATCCATCCAGTGAATGGGTGGAAATAGTAAGTGGTGGTGAGAGTCAAATTTCTCTTCGTTGTCAGATTAACAACAGATTGTGTTGAGAATTAAAGGCTCCTGTACTCCTGTTTGGAAATCTGGAAGTAATCAATTTCAACTAAATCACTAGCACTAGTAATACTCATTATCACATCATCCACAGGGGAAGGCAAGTGGTTCTATATGGATGTGTCTAAATTCTGCAAAAAATTGTATCTTTCTATTTACGTACTCTATACTGAATTAAATGAAGAGGCCCAGAATTATTTGTATCCATGGGGATTTGCCTAGAGCAATGGAATAGCATTCCAAGTGGAAATTAAAAATTAGTATGGGGGAAGCACAGCTCATTTTTATTAGCTGTAGTTAAGAGTGGAGGGTGTCCCATGAAACTCAAGTACTTTTGTGTTTCTTCAGGTTGGAAAGGACGACCTTGACAACCCAAAGGCCATGGCTGGACTCTCTAAACTGGGCAGCTCTCCTTTGGTGAATCAGTACAGCCTGACTGTGGGGATGGACCTTGGCCCACATAATACTAAGTCCCTCATGAAGTGTGTAGAATCCTTGTCTTTCATCGTACGAGATGCTGCCCATGTCACCCCTGAGAACTTTGAGCTCTGTGTCAAAACCATCCGCATATTTGTGGAAGCCAGTCTAAATGGAGGTATGTTGTATGTTAGGTCTGTTACTTGTCAGTGGAGAAACAGGCTATATCCATAATAATAGCAAGGGAACACACTGTTCTCTTTAGGGGGCTTTAGAATACCAATATATACCACCCTCCCCCAGTTAATATTTCCGGTACTGTTCCATTATCTGGGCGGAGGCCACTAGGGGGTGCTAGAGAGAGAAAAATAGACCATTTTACAGGGAGGGAGTTGAAGGAAGAAAACCTATTCCCCCATTTTCACTTGTTATTCCCCCTCCCTGCTTCCCCAGGGGACATGAGTGGGTAGAATAACAGGAAAACGGGGTGAAATGGTTTTACTCCTTCAACCCACCCTACACCCCCTAAAATGGACTATCCTCCTTTCTCTGACTCCCCGCAGTGGCCTCTGCCTGGATAATGGAACAGTACCATATTTCCATTTTTATTTGTGTCTTCATAAGGTATCTTAGCAGTCAAAGACAAGTTCAGGACATGATTGCTATTATCAGTACATAAGTGAATGTGATTTAAAACTGAAACACCACATTAGAAATGTATTTTGCTTACGTTAAAAGTTTTTAAATTAAAAAAAATCAGAACACCAGCTGTATATAAAACACTGGGATTTTCTATATACATTTAAATGCATAGTTCATGACCTCACTTTACAGAAATGATCAGTCTCTTTTTTAGTTACCGATTTTGCTTCTTAATACCATGGACATTCTGGCTGTAAATAAAAAAGCCTGACAGAGTGGCAGAGAATAGGAGATGAGAGTTGTTATATCTTGGAGGAGAATAGTGACAATAGTAGTTAATTATTAAATTGCTCCAAGAAATGATTTAAGAAAAAATCAGATTGAGAAGATTACAGTTCTTACTCATTTTTCATTTTGGCATCAAATTCTTTACCTAATATCCTGGTGTGGCCAAACTCCATTCCTGCCGACTGGTTATGTACTTTTTGAGCCATTTCTCCATATGGCAAAAATCTCATATTATACACCCCAAACTCCACTGCTGCCAGTCAGTTGCCCTGTAAACCGGTGTGTATAATTTCACTTTGTGACATCAGTCACTACATTACACGTCCTGACATGTTATTCATTTTCACAATTTTTTCTATACTTCCATCTCTAAGGAATTTAACAAAAAAAATACCGGTGCATGAGGAATGTTCTACTTTATGATTTTTCACATAGTTAACACTTCACCATTTTCCATAAAGTGTACCTGTTCATTCTTATCGATTTCATTATAGCCAAAGCCCTTGGTTGTGTTTAGGAATCCTCCCATACCTCATTCTAGATCAGGGGTCCTCAAACTTTTTGAACAGGGGGCCAGTTCACTGTCCCTCAGACTGTTGGAGGGCCGGACTATAGTTTACATGGGAATATTGTGAAACATTTGTTTTATATATTGTGAAACATTTATTTCTAATTACAAATAAATGAAAATTTGACTTCAAGACTTCAAGCATGTTGTAGCATGGGTAACAGGTTTACTATAACAGCAGGAACCCATGAATATGTTTACTGATCAGCCTATTGGCCAAACTTTTTATTTATACACCACTTTTTGTCTCCACAAGGAGACTGTGGGCCCTTCCAGACGCCCTATATCCCAGGATCTGATCCCAGGTTTTCTGCTTTAAACTAGATTATTTGAGTCTGCACTGCCAGATAATCTGGGATAAACAGAAAACCTAGGATCAGATCCTGGGATATAGGGCCTGTCTGAAAGGGCCCTTCCAAACAGCCATATAACCCAGAATATCAAGGCAGATAATCCACAATATCTGCTTTGAACTGCATTATCAGAGTCCACACTGCCATGTAAGCCAGTTAAGTGTGGATTTTATACAGCTGTGTGGAAGGGGCCAAAATAGCTTACATTTCAATACAATTTTAAATCTACAAATATATGAAACATTACAATAGAATTAAACTTCATTACTATTCTTTAAAACAGGCATGGGCCAGCTTGGGCCCTCCTTCCTCCCAGCCCCTTCCTTCTGCCAGGCAGGAAGATAGAAATAATAATAATAATAATAATAATAATAATAATAATAATAATAATAAGAAGAAGAAGAAGAAGAAGAAGACATACAATTGGAAGGAACCCCCAAAGGTCACTAGTCCATCCCCTTCTTTCTGCCAGGCAGGAAGATAGCAATAGTATATTATTATTATTATTATTATTATTATTATTATTATTATTATTATTATTAGGCTCATACAATTGGAAGGGACCCCCAAAGGTCATGTAGTCCAGCCCCTTACTTCTGCCAGGCAGGAAGATAGTATTAGATTATTATTATTATTATTATTAGACATACAATTGGAAGGAACCCCCAAAGGTCATCTAGTCCAGCCCCTTACTTCTGCCAGGCAGGAAAATAGAATTACTGCAGGAGCAATAACAACAACAATAAACAATAGTCTCCTGAAGTAAATTGAAGGGCATTAGACTTGAGTTTTGGAGTTGTGGTTTACCTACATTCAGAGAGCACTGTGAACTCAAACAATGATGGGTCTTTACCAAATTTGGCACAAAAACCTGATATGCTGAAAATGGAATACTGGCCTTTGTGGGTCCCCTTTGCCCTGCTGCTGCTGCTGCTACTATGGGTGGCTGGATGAAGAGGAGGCGGAGCTTAATCTGAATGGAGGGAGGGAGCGGCCAAGTGCCGAAGGAAAGAAAGAAGAAATGGAAAAGCCAGGAAAGGTGAAGGGAGGGAAGGGAAGGAGGAAAGGAAAGGAAAGGAAGGAAAGGAAAGGAAGGGAAGGAAGGAAGGAAGGAAGGAAGGAAGGAAGGCAAAAGGAGGGAAGGAAGCATGGAATGCAGGCAAGCAGATCAGGACCTTCCTGCCCTCCCCCCAGCCCCCGATGCTCCATCTCCGCCTGTAGAGCTCCAGGGTGTCCGAGGCGAGGTGTGCCATGGCTTGGGGCTGCAGGGCTGGCAGGCAGCGGGAGGCGTGCCTGTCTCTCTTCTCCACACTCCTAGCCTTCAGCTGCTCTCCTCTTGCTGCCCTACTGGCCTGCTGCTGGTCTCCCGTCCGGGGGCAATAGGAGCAGCAAGAGGAGAGTGGCCGAAGGCTAGGAACATGGAGAAAAGAGACAGACGCGCCTCCCGCTGCCTGCCAACCCTGCAGCTCAGCCATGGAGCTCTACAGGCGGAGATGGAGCATCCGGGGGCTGGAAGGGGGGCAGATCTGCTTGCCTGCCTTCTCGCTCCCTCCATTCAGACCCAGCACTCACAGCGCCCGCGCTTCCGCCTCCGCCTCCCTCTTCCTTCCCAGCCCCCGAGCGGGAGAGGAGCAGCAGCCAGGCTGCTATTGGTTCAGCCGCCCCTGCCAGGGGCCGGATAAATGCCCCCGGCGGGCCGGATCCGGCCCCCGGGCCGTACTTTGGGGACCCCTGTTCTAGATAATAGCCTTCCTAAATCACCTTTAGAGATTTGGACCACTGCATTGTCCTTGTCTGTGCTATATCCTTTGACTATTAATGTTTGTGATCCTCTTAGCTGTCAACTTACCAGAGATCGCCCTATGTTTCCTCTCCCTTCTGAGGCGCCTTCCACACAGCTGAAAAAAATCCCACATTTTCTGCTATGAACTGGAATATATGGCAGTGTGGACTCAGATAACGCAGTTCAAGGCAGATATTGTGGGATTTTCTGCCTTTATATTCTGGGTTATATGGCTGTGTGGAAGGGCCCTGAGATAACAAGTTCTTCATCTTCCAGAACTGAGAAGCTTTGGTAGGAAACCCCACCACTTCCCCAAACTGCATATGCTCCAGCCCACCAAAACCCAAGTTTTATATAATATACAATTAAAACTGAGACTGCTGTCTAAATAGCCACTACAATAGTGTTTCTCAACCTGGGGGTCGGGACCCCTGAGGGGGTCGTGAGGGGGTGTCAAAGGGGTCGCCAATGACCATCAGAAAACATAGTATTTTCTCTTGGTCATTGGGATTCTGTGTGGGAAGTTTGACCCAATTCTATTGTTGGTCGAGTACAGAATGCTCTTTGATTGTAGGTGAACTATAAATCCCAGCAAGTACAACTCCCAAATATCAAGGTCTATTTTCCCCAGACTCCACCAGTGTTCACATTTGGGCATACTGAGTATTTGTGCCAAGTTTGGTCCAGATCCATCATTGCATGAATCCATAGCACTCCTCTGGATATAGGTGAACTACAACCCCCAAACTCAAGGTCAATGCCCACAAAACCCTTCCAGTGTTTTCTGTTGGTCATGGGAGTTCTGTGTGCCAAGTTCGGTTTAAATCCATCGCTGGTGGAGTTCAGAATGCTCTTTGATTGTAGGTGAACTATAAATCCCAGCAACTACAACTCCCAAATGACAAAATCAATCCTCCCCCCAACCCCACTAGCATTCACATTTGGGCATATTGGGTATTTGTGCTCAATTTAGTCCAGTGAATGAAAATCCATCCTGCATATCGGATATTTACATTATGATTTATGACAGTAGTAAAATGACAAGTATCAAGTAGCAATGAAAACAATATTATGGTTGGGGGTCACCACAACATAGGGAACTTCATTAAGGAGTCACAGCATTAGCAAGGTTGAGAACCACTGCACTACAACATAGTAGAAAACTAATCAAATAAACACACTAATATAATGCACACCTACATTAACATGTTCTATATACCCACAACTACAGAAACTATTTTGCAAACCTCACATGCATAGTTGATTTTTTATTTATTTTTTAAAAACAACCTCCAACCTGTTCTCTCTGCTTCACTGTTCCATAAAGGATTTACTGCCAGCAATGATCAGTTAGTCTATGTAAAGGTATAGATATAATCTCCAGGCAGGGGTTTGTCAACACTTAACATAATAAATCTGTCACATTCTATTTGTTTCTCTCACACATTTACTCACCTGGGGCTAAAGTAGACATAAAGCTGGAGATCTCAGCTCCGTATTACCTACTTTTTTTCCTTTCAATAATTAGCAGCCTTTTGTGGGACAGATTTAGAGACTGAAGAAATTACATGGGATTTAGATTTAATAGACCTGGTGAGGAGGGACACATAGAGATACCTATTAGGGAGGATTTGGTTTGTAAAATTGCAGAGAGGACCCCCTCCATGCTACTTCCCTAGATTTTAGAATCAACTCTTTAGGTAAAACTACGCAAACTCTTATTGTTCATCTCCCACATTGCCCTGCTCACATGCAGTGCACTCTGCGAAGGCTGCCAGGGTCACATGTGGCTTCTGTGCTTTCAGAAATGACCTAGAATTCAGAATCCTCTGAATTTTTCCTATTTTATATCTAAGAACTGTTTTCTCAGGTTGTTACTTTGGCATTACAGAGATGCATTTGTCTAGTAGATGCATGTAAATAATTATCAAAGCCTAAAGAAGTGTGTTGTTTCCATAGGCTGCAAATCCCAGGAGAAGCGAGGGAAAAGCCACAAATATGACCCAAAATCAACCCGTTTCAAGAAGAAACCAAAGGAGAGCTCACTGAGGCACTTGAGGGCCTCCAACCAGCATCAGCACCGTTCTCCCGATGAGGATGAAGATGAGGATGAGAGTGTCCCTGCCAGTTACCACACTGTGTCTTTACAGGTTAGTCAGGATGTAAGTATAGTCAGGATTTTTTCCTTGTCTTTCCCTGCTGCTGGTTTTCTAATTGCAGTTGCTTTGGGTCAAAGTAGTCATTATGTTGTTCATGTTGCTTGGTCTTTCATGGCTGCTCTTTAAAGAGAAATAATTGTTGCCAGAATGCGGTGGGACAAGGTTTTTGATCATGATTGTGCCAGTGAGGCCTTTCCTCCTACTGTAAAGAGGAGTTGCTAAAGGAGGAGGCAGCAACTGGATGAAGGCCATTATATGCATTAAGCCCCTTTCTCTGTACCCAGCACAATCTCTGTCTAGCTCAGAAGACCCATAATGCTTCTTTGTACAAAAATAAAATAGCCTCATGAAGTCAAGCAGTGTGAATAATACTGTGACTAATTTGATCCTTAGTAATGCACTGGCAGGGAGTTTCTTTTGTATCAGGGAGTACTTTATTGGAAATCTACCATCTTAGACTTTGTTCTTGGGATATGTGTAGACCTGCAGAAAATTGGTACTGTGATCACTGTTGATGTTATATATATATATATATATATATAAGTAAGGAAGCAACATGTGTTGATTTTTTTGGGTGGATTAGATAAATATGGTTGATACTTTTTCGTGCCAGCCAGAAGCCTTTGTGATCATATATTCCAAATAAGCTAATGATGTTATACTTAGGAGTATTCAATTTCAAGAGCCACTTTTATTCTGATAGAATAAATTTGCTGTTGAAAGAGAGTTGAGAATACTATAATTTTCTGTTATTACACTATGTAACATAATTTTTGTTCCTCGGATATAAATGTCTTTTCCTCATTGATTCTATAAAAAACATGGGAAAAGTTTAGTAATCTTCAAAAACTTTGTTTTTATCGTTCACCCTGAGCACATTTTGCTATAGTTTGTCAATAAATACCTGATAGTCTCAATCAATTCAATATAGTTTGTGGCAGCCACAAACATGAAGTTTCTGGAGTATAACAACTATTTTCAAAGTACCGCACAATTAAACAGGAAATAACACTTTCAAACCAGGAACAGATTTTTTTTTCAAATTCTGTTACATAGTGTTATAGATTTGAAGAAATCATCCAAGAACAGATTAACTCTTGCTGCTTGTGAAAGGCCAAGGGATCTGTGATTTTAAAAGACTTTTTATACTAGGTTTTTTACTCCTCTTATTAGTTTCCTGACTTCTCTTTTTGCTGTGCCTTCATAAGCCAATGCTTTGGATCCTTTCCAAATAAAGAGAAATTCATGTGAATACTCTTTCCCCCCTTATATATTACCTCCTTTCACAAAGTCCAACAAGGTGTCTGGACCCAAGTTGGCTATATCTAGTCACTAGGTATCTGAATGTAGGCTTACCCGAGTCTAGTCTATTCTGAGTACTTGGTAATGACTCTGTTGCCCTCATGTCATAGTTACACTCTTCTAATTTACAATATGAAATAAGTTATTTTAGTGATGCTGCAGGAAAACTGATCACACAAATCCACATAAGCAGTAGGAAATAGGTTTAGGTTTGAAACCCAGTGCATTTAAGATAACTGTCAGCACTTGCCTCAGTATTGTTCCCTATTCACAAGAAATTCGCGTCTTCTTTATTTCATTCACTCTCTGTTTCAGCTGATAAAAGGAGCCAAGATCTAACCTAAAAACTCTCTTTCAAAATCATACGATCCCTTGCCTTACTTGGTTGGTATTAGTAGTTCACTTATTACTAGATGTCTTCTGCCCTCCAAAACAAGTTGAACCTTCACGTTACTTCCCAACATACCATTGTGTTTTTTGATGAACAAAAAAGATTCCAAAAATGGACAGTGAACATTTCCTTTAGAAGATAAAGTTGATGGTGGATATATAAAATTAAGAGGTTTATACACTATGTGGTTTGGAGAATTCTTGAACCATTGTATTAGAGAAAGATTAGGAGAATATTGGTTTCAATGAATCCACTGTCATTCTCTGAGGCCCCTTCCACACAGCTGAATAAAATCCCACATTTTCTGCTTTGAACTGGAATTTATTGCAGTGTGTACTCAGATAACCCAGTTCAAAGTAGATATTTTGGGATTTTCTGCCTTGATATTCTGGGTTATATGCCTGTGTGGAAGGGCCCTGAGAGTCTTTCATAAAATTAGATAATGCTGGATGTGGATCTTAGTCTGATAAAGACATATTTTCTCATAAACAGATGTGTATGCTCAGGGTCACTTAACACAGTTTATTTGTATCTTAACTGGTATGATTCAAAAACATAGGCATGTTAGTCTGAATGCAAACGAGTCATGTAGCACCTTTGAGACTAAGAGAGAAAAATGTTTGTGACATCAACCTTTCTATGAAAGCTTATGCCACAAACCATTTCAGTTTCAAAGGTGCTACAATATCCCTTTTTCTCCCTCATGGTCTCTGTGAAATATGCACATATGGTAGTTGAGGCACATATGGTAGTTGATCACAGATGACCACTTGAAGAAACATGGTTACAGGTAAGCAACCATCATACATCAGGCCTCCTGGCCCTCTGAGTGTTTGAGACTCCATCTTCCAGAAGCCCTAGCCAGCTTGTTCAATGGCCATGAATTTTGGGAGCTGAAATCCAAAGCGCCTGGAGCGCCGCAGGTTGAAGAGGCCTGCTTTATATCCATACTATTAAGAATGTCCTGTGCATACACACCTTCCATATACATTTGAAACAGTAGTGGGAGAAAAGTAGCCCGTTTCCTTGCTTGGACCACACTCTGCTTTTTCAAATATAAGTGACAAGGGCTGTACTTGGCTTATCTTGGAGATATATATATAATCTTGAGAATAACAGTTTTGTAAAAAAAAGTCTTGAGGGTAAGGGCAGGCAGAACATTTATTTCCTGCAGGAATGAAAGAGTATGACATTTCTGAGCTGCGCAGTTTTGTCCTTTGTTAGGCTATTTTTCTATGAATCGTTATTGCCAAGGCTTTATTTTGTTTAGAGGTAACAGATGAGGCTATTCCTTGCCCACTTTACATTTTCAATTGCAGCTGTTGGACCTGATGCATACCCTTCACACACGAGCCGCTAGTATCTACAACTCTTGGGCAGAGGAGCAGCACCATCTGGAGGCCGCAGGAAAGAAAATTGAAGCAGACTCTCGGACATTATGGGCCAATTGCTGGTGCCCTTTGCTGCAAGGTAAAACCAACACATCCAAGAATCTGATAGATTCACCAGAATAGAATATGGGGTGCCAGATACCAATCATGCAATAGTCTTAAGAACAAGTCAAACATATTTAGGTTTCCTTAAAGCTAGAACTAGATACTGTATGCTTCAAACACATTTGCCTGAATCTTATTGGAAGTTCCAACTCAAGTCTAGCTACTGAATAAGTGAGATTTATATAAGTATTCATCATTCAGCAATTGATAGTTCAACCAAAACCTATATGGAACATTTGAGTAGTTGGGTATGAAAAAATGGACTGAGATGTAATATGATAGCTATTCTCTGATATTTTCAGGGCTATTTACAAAGATGGAGAAAGCTGCTTGGGGTAAAAAGAATAAATTGCTCACTGCCATGAGATTTTTGGTCCTTGAAAATAGCAAAAAATTGGGAGTTTTTTTCAGTAGAAAATGTGCAGTTTTTTGGGGGGAAGGGAGTATTTTTTCCCCCACAAAACGGCTTTTTTGTATAAAAGCTTTTGCAAGATTTGTGCAAAAATGAACATGCTCAGAACCTTGTTGCCTCAAATGTTAGACCTGTTTCCAAGTATACTTGACCTGCTGATTCCAAAAATTGCAGCAATTTGGACAGCTGCTTTCTTTAAGGTTTTTAATGAGAGGTTTGAGGACATAAGTGGTGCTCTCCCTATATTATTTCGGAGTTGGAGCCCTTTGCAACATAACTCTATCATTTTAACTTCTGCTCTGTACAGGTATTGCCTGCTTGTGTTGTGATGCACGCCGACAGGTGCGGATGCAGGCCCTGACTTACCTACAGCGAGCTCTCCTTGTGCATGACCTTCAAGCTCTTGATGCTTTGGAATGGGAATCCTGTTTCAACAAGGTACTCAATACGGAATGCTACAAGGAGTGGAATGGGACCCTTGCTTTCTGCAGGGATGACATCCTTATTTTTAATAATTTGGCCCAATCCCTTATTCCAGGAAAGGAATCTAAAATCTCACTGAGTCTTTGTGGTGGGAAAGTAGTAAATAGAGTGAGGAGGTGGCACTGTTGGCTGGACATGGAAGGACAAGCAGAAGGGCAGCAGAAGGAATGGGGCAAGGAGAGGGATCATCAGGAAAGGGTTTCTGGCTGAGGCTTCATTGTAGGAAGATGGGAAAGGAAGTGATGAGCCAGAGCTGTTGATGGAAAAAAGTCTGTATCATTCACGTAGAGTGGAAGGTTACAATATTGGGGGAGAGGGGTCCAATTCCACGGGGATCCTGAATCCCTAACTCTTGTAAAAGTGGAGGACCAAGTGTATTAGCTCTTTTCTTGTTTTTATCTTATTTACATCTGTTTTATTTGTTTTGTTGTTATCATGAGCAATTTATGGAAAATAGAATTTTAAAAATAAACTCAGTTTGTATGAACAAATAACCATAATCTCCCTTTAGTCTGTGAGACTAGGGTAAATAATAGATCAAAAAGGGAAAGAATACAAAACTGATTTGCCAACTGAAAGAAAACTCAGTGTATCCACAGATAGATGGAATTTGATTTGTATGCAGATTAACATGTACACTTTGCAGATGTTGTTACTTTGGAACTTGCAAGACTCTGAAAATATTCAGTAAGCCCTAAGTAATGAATTGGCTAGGCATATAAAATGTCCCATCAAGCTGCAGAAGGACATAAAGGGGAATTGCATTGTTATTTTTAAATTACAGTGCAAAGAACAGTATAATGCCTGGATGTTGAGAAGTGTCATAATTGCATCCTGTATCCATATGACGATGACGACGACGACGACGATGATGATGATGTCATTGTTATCACTATCAAAAAAATTAAAAAGCACTGGTTCCAATAGCACATGTTCCAATTTTTAAAAGTTGCCGTTCTTCCAGTGCCCGGCTGGGGTGGCAATAGTTCAATTACCTTGATGGAATTCCTATTACTTTTAGGTGATGGTTGAAGCAACTAATCTCTGAACAGGTTAAACTATCCATGCATCTCACCATTCCCTTTCCCCTGTAGCCTGATGGAAAGGCTGCTGCTAAGTGACAGTTGGGGAATGAATATTGCCATATTAACTGCTGGAAGAGGGATGTCAGAGGATGTACTTTCATGGACTGCTGAGGGGAATGGGGACAAAGTTCGTACTAGAACTGCATTGAGCCTCTGTATTAAGTTGTCCTCGGTGGTAACTAATTTGCCAAGGGATATGTTGCCAGTAAAGCCCAATACAGTATAGCATGAGGAGAACTCAGAGCACAGGCATAGCATTTTTGCACTGAAATAACAGATATATTTAAATAATGCAGTCTTAGAGTTAATTCCTTGCTTGCCCCATCTTTGGGGTAATATTTCATTTCTTGATGAATCAATATGCTATCTCCTTCATAGTATTTTAGCTTATGAAAAAAGTTAATCTACACTTTCTACATTTTCGATTTTGTCTACTGTTCTTACTTTCGGTTCTTGGATCAAACAGGTGCTGTTTCCATTGCTGACCAAACTATTGGAAAATATCAGCCCAGCAGACATTGGTGGGATGGAGGAGACCAGAATGAGAGCTTCAACTCTACTTTCTAAGGTGCAGGGCCGCTTTTTTTTTTCAAACTCTGATGCTTTCTGATTTTTAAAAAGTACATCAATATAAAGCTCCCCCTGACTAACCATATTATGCAAAGGAAAATAAAGATCTAAAGGACACACTTTAGACAGGTTTGTTCATTGAAGCTGATAGTCCTCTCCCATTGGAAGTGGGTTTGGTGTACTTAATGCCCCATGTACTATCATTAAAGAAGAAGAAGAAAGCCAATTTAGCCACCAACAAAGTAGTTATTGGACTGAGATGCCTGACAGGTTTCCTTGATGGATCAATGCATATTTAAAAGACATTCAGTATAGAAGCTCTTTTTCTTAGATCAATTTTGGTTGAAATGTGTAATATAAAGTATCAGTTAAGGCAGAAGTTGTTGCAGCTTGTTATGGACACTAAAAATAACTAAGAGTTTATTATAAATAAAACAAGAGTGTTACTTCACAGCTGAAATGCAATTACGATTTGTGAAAAATTATTTTAATGCTTTCTCATGTTTCTACAGTAGAGTGAATCATAACATTTCGAGTAATACCTACTCATTCTGTTTTCATGTTAATAATATCTTAAGGGTGTATAGTCTTGTCCATTTAGAAGCACTATTTTTTGTCACAGAATGCAACTTTTGCAGCCACAGAATTTGTGGGAAAGTTCTCTTTTTCCAAACTGTAGGTCAGTCAAAAAAGTGCTGATAGGGTGCATGCCAATAGTGTGCAGTGTTTCTAGTTTCAAGGATTTGAGATCCTTTGTTGAAATTCAGTCATATAAACGCTAGTAAGGACAAGAATCCTTAACAGCTTTTCTCTTCTCACCACAGTTCTCTTCTTTTTTTAGGTCTTCTTGCAGCATTTGTCTCCCTTGCTTTCTCTCCCAACATTTGCTGCTTTGTGGCTGACAATTCTGGATTTCATGGACAAATACATGCATTCTGGCTCCAGTGATTTGTTGGTATGTGATTTGTTGCTCTTCCATGTTTCCACTCTGATAGATAGACTGAGTTTTAAAGACATGTAAAAATCGCCTTTTGTCAGCAGCCTCTTTTTACTGGGTTGTACTTGTTTACTTGCAATGTTTGAGGGCATTACTTTTGTCTGTCCTTTATCTTCACTTTTCCTGGTCATTTGTGGAGCCTAACCTTGTGAAGTATTGCCAAGTGAGAACAGTTAGCCACAATAAGCATCCACTATCTTAGCTCTTTGACGTGTCTTGCTTTCCAGCCAGAGGCCATTCCTGAATCACTGAAGAATATGCTGCTAGTAATGGATACAGCCGGAATATTTCACAGCTCTGATTCTCGGACAGGCTATTCAGATCTCTGGGAGATCACGTGGGAACGCATAGATTGCTTTTTGCCAAAATTGCGGGATGAACTTTTTAAACAGACAGTCATCCAAGGTAAGTATCTGTACAGGGCTCTCTTTTTGTATTGTGTGCAACCAGTTAATTAGATTGCTCTTCTGAGAGAATATTCAGAGTTCAATAACTTTCCTTATGTGAGGAGTAGCTATACGAGTGCCTCTGAAGTCAAGAAGGTCTAAGGTTATTGAGTGGGCAAAGACAGTGTCAGAACACAGTGATGCCTTGGGCTATTGAGAGGTTGAGGTTGGCCATCTCTCATGCTTTCTTTGACTGAAAGGGGAGTCTGCAGTTGAGAGACATTTCACCTGGAAAATTCAATCTTGATATAAGAATAAGTCTTTGTATCCAAAGCTTTTCTGCTTATTGCTTTTATTTAGACCCAGTTTCTACTTTACCAGTAGAGATGCATCCTCCGAAACCAATAGTGTCTGCTCTGCCACATTCCTCTGGAGGGGATGCAAGACCAGCCACACATTCAACGTGTCCTGAGAAGTCTCCTGAGCTGACGCTAACTGGTAGGTGCCATGTTTTCTGCTGCTTGTTTTAAAAAAACCCCCAAAACCAAACAAAAGTGTGGAACAAAATGGAATCAAAATGTTAAGTGTCAGTGACAATCTCACACTAATATGCTTATCTATAATTTTCATTGTGCTAAGATTTGATGTATCTGTTAAAATTGAATTGAAAAGGTCAAAACATAGAAGCAAATAGATATTATATCAGTCAGATGCAATCAGTTGAAAAGACTACATAAGAGGAGGAACATGACAGGTCAGTCCATGAAACCAAAATCTTATCTAAATAAAAATTACTTTTGCCTGCCAGTCAAAGGTCAGATATGCATCCTTTGGAGAAAGAGAAGGGTAATATTTGGACAAAGGAGAAGGCAAGGGTAAAAACTGAATCTACAGCATACAAAATGGGTTTTGAAGGGAAAGAGAGAAATTGTATGTTCCGGCATCATAAGAGGCAGTAAAGAATATAACAAATCCATACAAAAGAATGGACTCTGTTGATCTGCTAAGCCTGGTGGAGTTAATGTAGGAAGATTATGGACAATGAATGTAATGTGGCTAGAAAAAATGCTAAATAGCCAATATAGGTATCTGGGGAGACATAGCACCTAATCTGAGTGAAAGGTTAGACTGGAATTGTAGACCGAAATTAAGCAGTCTCGTTAAAAACTAAGAGAAAGATCCCCAACTAGATAAGGATGTAGACATAATCCTCTCTCCTATCCACATAGAAACTCTTTCTCAGTCCCTGAGAAGCAGAGTAGACCCATGTTCTCTTAGAGACAAGCCCGTAGCTCCTATGTGTTCATATTGCTAGTCGTACAGATTTTTGTGTGTTAATGTTTATATGTGATATATATTAATTGTATTGTTTTTGTTTATTGCTTTCTTGTTTTATTGATGTGTTGTTGGGCTTGGCCTCATGTAAGCTGCTCTGAGTCCCTTGGGGAGATGGTGGAGGGGTATAAATAAAGTATTATTATTATTATTATTATTATTATTATTAACTAGGCTAAGAGTGGGATTGGAGGAATTTTGGAATTCTTGGCCTAGTGTCATTTACGAAGAAGTGGACAATCTTTTCTCTTTTCTCTCCAGACTCAGAGAATGCCTCAGTGCCTGGTCCAAGCACATCCAGTGTCCCTGGCCAACCGTTTGTCTCTCCTGCTGCAACAGTGAAAGTGAACTCCGCAAAAGATGTCTCCCCAACAATGGCACAGCAACCCCTTATCCTTCAGCCTCTGGCCTCCCCTTTGCAGGTTGGAGTGCCCCCAATGACTCTGCCTATAATTCTGAACCCAGCCCTCATAGAGGCCACCTCCCCCGTGCCTCTTCTGGCCTCCCAACGGCCATCTGACTCCATAACAACTTCTGAAGTCAATTGAGGAGAGGTGTAAATGGGAAACATGGCTGGAGGAGTGATGATGGTAATGGATACAGACCTGCTGTGTCTAGTAGAAGCCATGATTGCTGTAGTGGAAGGCCTAGCAGAGGAGTAGCAGCTCATCTTCCACTGTGGTTTTTCTTCCCAGTGGATGTAAAGCCAAAATCTTCACCCCCAAACATCTATTCTAACCCCTGATTCCCTGAGTAAAGGGAATCTCTGCATGGTGGCCAATTCCTGTTCTCTCTAGAGATAAAGGGCAGCACTTACTTTTTCATTTCTGTCCTCCTGGTGTCTGTGATCCAAACAAAGGTGTGATCTTCCTTTCACTGGAGAGCAAAGAAGCCAGATTCCTTAATTAACCAAGTGGAAAAGGTCCCAGTATGTCTTTTCCTCCTTTACTTTGCTTGGTATTGATTTTCCCCGAGCTCTTAATTCTTCAGGGCTTTATACTGGGTAACTGTGTATCAAACTGGGCCTTCTGTGTGGATCTGGAAAATATTGCTGCCTGTAACTAGAGAATGGAAGAAGGAATACGAAGGCTGGGGCAGTAAACATATCTCTCTGAAAGAGCTGAATGAACAGTTCCGATTTGATCAAGTTCTCTACTAGGGGCTCTCCTCCTTTCCTTTGACCCATGCTGGGCATCTAAAGCCACTCTGAATTTGCGCTCACTGCCTTTTAGTGAGAGTGGGGCTTGGTTGAATAGTGCATAGGGAGTGAAAAGCTGCAAGAGCGCAGTCTTCACCACAGCTGCTCCTTTGAGAACGGGATGCTAAGTGTTCCTTGCAGTCCTCCAGCAGTCGTTCACATTCAGGCAATGCCATTGCTCTCCTGCATCACTAGGCTGTCAGCACGAAACCAGAAAGTAAAACGTGACTCATCTAGTGCTTCCTTCCTGTTATGCATTAGGCTAAATTTTTCCACATTTATTGCAGAATCCCATTGGGAACTGAAGCCAGTGTCTACTGTGTGGAACAGCAAGTGACTGTGTGTGTATATATTCATAAGAAGTCAATCGACTTTTAACAGTGGAATAAATATGACCTGTAAATTAAATACCTGGCTTCAAAGTTCTGTCTGCCTATTTTGCACCATAAGATCACAGTTATTTTGGGTTCATTTTGGGTGGGAGCAACTAACCTGTTTGAACTCTTGAACCAAGGTGGGTTATTGGGAGATGATTTTTTCCACTGTGGGAGATTCAACTATGAATAGGGGATGGGCAGATTCCAAACTGGGGATATACACTTGGTAAAAAGCAGTGTTAAACATGTTCATACACACACACCTCACATTTGTATTGCTTCTTGTAACTTCTTTCAAAAATGGCTTGCTGGAGTTCAAATATCATTTGTTACAGAAATTGGATTCAAATACAGCTTGTGTAGCTTGAGTTGGGCTAAAAACCTTTTTTTTTCTTGGTGCTTGGATGTTTTGGTTTGTTTGTAATATGTAAGGAGTATTATATGAAGGGGAGCCTCTCCAGATGGCACCTCCCATCTGCATCCTGATCGTTCCACTTCACTACTTTGTATTGTTGCACATTTAAAGGTAAAGGTTTCATCTGACATTAAGTCTATTCATGTCTGACTTGGGCGGGCAGGCAGGGGGTGCTCATCTCCATTTCTAAGCTGAAGAGTCGGCATTGTCCGTAGGTCATGTGGCCAGTGGAGCACTGTTACCTTCCCGCAGAAGCGGTACCTATTGATCTACTCATACTTGCATGTTTTTGAACTGCTAGGTTGGCAGAAGCTGGACCCCAGATTAGAACTGTCAAACTTTCGGTCAGCAAGTTCAGCAGCTCAGCAATTTAACCTGCTGCACCACCAGGGGGCCCTTGTTGCACCTTTAGATATCTCTAAAAGTCAAATTGATTTTAACCTCTGTGATATTAACTCTTATTTTCATTTTCCAAAAGGAGACATATTCTGTTATTTTTTTAGCTCAGATAGAATTGAGGGGCACGTTTCACAAACTGTTGCCAAATGGTTCTGAAATCTGTAAAAAAAGAAAAAAGAAAGAAAGAAAACATATTGGCCTGCAAATCATTACTGTGATCCTGTTAGCCACATGCTCAGCTTCCACCTCACAAGGATGTCAAGTGCTTGCTAAAGTAAGCATAGTGATGCTGTCTGTTCCTATAAGGCATGTGTGCCTGAATGTTTTGAATTTATTTCCAATTTGGTTTGTGTGCTTGTGATTCTTTATTATTTTTTAAAAGGAGGAAAGGGCAGCTTTTCTTTTTTATCTGTTACCTTACTTGCACATTAAATATATAATTACAGCATGTTGATGCAAAAAGAGAGGCTACATTTTGCTATAGCGACTCAGAAAAACTGAGATGTATATTTAACTTTGATTAGCATATTAAGTTAATTACGATTACAGATATAGGTAATAAAGATGTTCTCCTGTTGAATATTCAAAAATATTTTGCTTTCGGCTATTATCCTACAATTCTGCTATTATGGCTAACAACACCCCCTTTAAAAAGCAATCTGTATCTGGTGGCCATTGATTACACAAAATAAGTGTGTTATAGGATCAGCCCCAGGGTGTGCCTATTTTCAAAACAGGCCACTCAAATTCATCCAGAAATGCAACAAGCAGTACATAAAGGCAATAGCTCTCCTCCTTCATTAATAGCTACCAGTATATATCTATATCTTCTGTCTTCTATATCCATACCCGTATCCATATATATGTCGATATCCATATCCATAATAAAAGTGAAAGCATGTGTGTATGTGTGTGGTTGGGGCTCCCAGTTCGACAGAAACGTTCCCACTTCCACGAACAACTATGACCCCCCACCACCACTGAGGAGCCACCAAAGACCCTCCCTCCAATGGCATTGCAGGTTATAGAGAGAGCCGTGAACATGTTCAAGAGCCGCCAGCCCCTGCCAATGTCCTCCACAAACACGATACTGCCCACCACTTAAGTTAATGTTTTCATACGGGGGCAATTTCATCCTCTATTTTTTGTTTCCTCTACCACAGACATCTCAACTATTTCTTACTCTCTTCATTGGTGTGGAATTTGCACAATCCTGCCTATTACCTCTCCCATATACCTTTCCTACTCTCTTCTATGGCTCATAGCAAACAGAGAGGAATTGATCATCAACTTAACAAACTGGAGGGGTTGCGGGGGCTGAATCAACATGATGGAAGTTTTAGTTTACCCTTCATCAAGAGCACTGTGACCCCCGCTGACAATGAACCTAGCCCAGACGTGGCACACAGAACCACCATGACCAACTGAACATACTGAAGGAGTTTCAGGGGAATTGATCTTGATTTCTGGGAGTTGTAGTTCACCCACATCCAGGGACACCGTGACCCTCACCAACAATAGACCAAGAACAAGCATGATACACAGAATCCCCATGACCAACTGAATCTACCGGAGGGGTTTGAGTGGAGCTAACTAACTTTCTTTTAACTGAGAGAAGGTAAAAGGTTTATGCTGCTTCATTTAGCCTTTACAAGAGGTTCTCCTTTCTCCCTTGCCATTATCACAGGCTTGTCTTGTAAGTACAAGGGAGAGAGCCTTCTCCTCTGTGGCCCCCCGACTCTGGAACTCATGTTCCGGTGAGATTAGGAAGGCCCCCACCTTAGAAACTTTCAAGAGGGATCTCAAAACCTGGGTTTTCCGATGCACTTTTGGAGAGTAGCCATACTATCATACACAGTTGCTCCCCCTCAACCGTTTTTTATCCCCAGAGTATATTTCCCCACCTGTATGAAGGTCTATTTTTATGACCCCGTTCCTTTATGAGTTTCTTCCTCACAAACAATCTGCTCCATCCCTGTCTCATCCTGATTTTAGTATTTTTAATATTTTAGTTTTTTTGATCTCGAACATGCATCCCGCTCATTGTCATTTTATTGTGTATGATTTTGCTTTATCTTTTTTTTTGTACTCCTATGTTGTATGTATTTTACTATGTTGTTATTGTGTTTTGGTTTTATTTTATTGTAATATGCTGTTGGGCTTGGCCTCATGTAAGCCGCCCCGAGTCCCCATTGGGGAGATGGTGGCCGGGTATTAAGTAAAGTTTATTATAATATTATTATTGCATCCTCTCAAAGGGAATAGAAGAAGCATGGGAAAACTAGGCCCGACCGCACGGCCTAGCTCAGAGGAGAGGCAAGCTTCAGAGGAGGCTCCTCACAGAGTTTCATTTGCTAGGTGAGCAAAAGGGGGAGGAGACCGTATCCCTCCAAATCCCTCAGTACTCTAAGCATAAGGCTTCCCTGAAAGAACAAAAAGGAGGGGACCCCCAAATTCAACGCCAAGCCTCTTCCTCTCATCCTCCCCCTTCTGCTCTCCCTTCTCTGCGGCTGTTGCCTTTTCAGCTGGTAAGTAGAGTTGAAAGAAGGGTGAGTGAGAAGAAATATGCCAAGGGAGGGGATTCAGCCCAGGGAAGCGGATGAGGTAGGCCTCGCACTAGAGTTTTGAGAAAAGAGCTTGTGCCTCCACCCTGGCCAATGCGCTCTGAGGAGACTCTTTTCAAAATAATTTAAAAAGCAAGCTTGTAAAGAGCACATTTGTTGACAGTCTCTTGTTTCCAGCAGTAGACCGTGACTCCTCTCCTCTGACTAGTGTGTTTCCTTAAGACGGGCCTCAGTTCACCCAGCCAGCGGTTCATTTTTGCACTGCACATTTTCTTCATGTGTATTGTCTTTTTCCAATAAGATAACCAGCCTTCAGGTTTGAAACTCACCTCTGCGTAAAGTATAATGTTGTCACTTACTTTGAAGGCAGAATTTCCTTTTAATCTAATGACAAAGGGGCCACATATATGCTTACTGCTCTCTGGGTGGCTCAAGGCCCTTCCACACAGCCATATAACTCATAATATCAAGGCAGAAAATCCACAATATCTGCTTTGAACTGTGTTATCTGAGTCCACACTGCCATATAATCCAATCCAATGTGGATTTTGTGTAGCTGTGTGGACCAGACTGCTATATATATGGGAGACAAATCCCTTCACTTACCCCATTGTCGTATCTAATGGAGTTTCAAATAGGATAAGCTCCTATAAAATTTGGTTTTTAGTATGCAATCACCAGCCTGACACCATGTAAGCCAACTTTTGTTTAAATCCTTAAATTGGCTGTTCCACACATCCTATAGGAGTGGCTAGTGTCAGGATAAATATCTCACATTAGTTAGGCCTACTTTATCGGGTTTTTTTTTTACATTGACATTTTTCCCCCCTGAATGAAACTCTAGATAGCAATGTAATGAGAAAAAGGAGGAATTTTTCTCATTACATTGCTATCTAGAGCAGGGGTCCTCAAACTTTTTAAACAGAGGGCCAGGTCACAGTCCCTCAAACTGCTGGAGGGCCAGATTTTAATTTTAAAAAATCATGAATTCCTATGCACATTGCACATATCTTATTTCTAGTGCAAAAAAAACCCCACACACTTAAAAACAATACAATAATTAAATTAACAATATTAAGAAATACAAACTTATTAGTATTTTAGTGGGGAGTGTGGGCCTGCTTTTGGCTGATAAGATAAGATTGTTGATGATGTTGTGTGCTTTCAAGTCATTTCAGACTTAGGTTGACCCTGAGCGAGGGCTGGATAAATGACCTTGGAGGGCTGTATCCGGCCCCTGGGCCTTAGTTTGAGGACCCCTGATCTAGAGTTTCTTTCACCTTAAGGCCAACCATGAAGTTCTGGTCCCAATAACTCTGAAGACAGTAAGAGTGAGCATCTCAGGCCCCTTCTACACAACTGTACAAAATACATATTATCTGCTTTGAACTGGATTATATGGCAGTGTAGAAGGGCCCTCAGCCAGCACCATACATCTCTCAGGATCAGACCAATTTATTTATATTTATTACTCATTCAAGCCATGTCATGTCCCTGTTTAATTTCTCCAGGGCGCCTTAATAAATAAAAACTATTAAAATTTATTAATAAAGTTCAGCTTTGAATAACACAATTTATAATAAATCAGTACAATATTCAACATTGTTAGAAAACAAATATACAGAAGAAGGTTTAAGATCTAATGATAGCCAT